GAAGCACTTACAAGCAAGTGGTCGCGTGGTCGCCTGTTTTTTGGGAAAACTGGACGTGTCGCAACCTTACCACTAGAACAAGTAGAACAGTCGGTCTTGAGTGGTATACAATCATTTGTTTGCCAGTCGTCCTCCAAAAAATCAGAAAAACCAACTGCCGGAGATGGATCACTCTTCCCCAAGACAATGCGAGCTCCCACACAGTGGCTCAAGCAACCGTATTTTTGAGCACTCAAAACAACGATTTGATGAGTCATCAGCCATGTAGTCCTCGCGTGACTTCTTCTTATCCCGTACGTAAAAAATAAGGTGAGAGTTCAAGGTTTTCGACACCTGAAGAAGCCGTTGATGCGTTCAGAATGCATGTTTTGGAGTTACCTCAATCAGAGTGGCAAAAGTGCTTCTATAATTGGTTCGAACGCATGCAAAAGTGTGTAGATCTTAATGTGGAAGTTTTTGAAGGTAGTAAAGCGATTTTCAATATTTAATATTTCTTTTCGTTCTCTAATCCCGAAATATAAAAGGCAATCTATGTATCTAGTAGACATATCGTCCGTGTATAAAGTATTGTATCCACTGCTTGCTATATATTTCTTGTTGCTATTTTTGTAGCATAACTTCAAAACTTCTTTAATGTTTTCATTATAATGTTATGAGGAAGGTTGGTGAACATATTGCTATAGTCTGCAGAAAATAACTATATATTGTTCACTGTGATATTTTGCACTTGTTCACTTATACTAATACCAGTCGCATCGCCCGGCTAACCTAGGCTCTCCTCCTTCCTGTGTCAAACACCCTATCCCGAGAAATGTTGAACTAAGGAATTTTTTCTCCTGTTTTCAAAGTTTACAGTTTTAAGTTTTTTCCGCTGTTTAGCTGAGTCTAGGTTTTTTCCGTTGTTTAGCTGAGTGAGAGTATGGAACTGTAACAGAGCTCGAAATCCTTCTTTGACACAACAGAAATCGGAAGCTTCCCTAAATCTTTGATAAAGTTATAGTAAGTCTAACTCTCCACTCCTTTTTTTGGAACAAATGCCTGTACACGAAATTTGACACAGGACTAACAGGGCAGTGCAAATGGTATTCAGTTAAAGTCGGTGCTTACGCCTTTGAGGAATTCTCGAACCTCTGCTCTCTTAGAAATATATACCCATCCAAAATCCAACTGTTAGACAATCAAAGATGATGCTGTGGAGATGTTCTGAGTAATGGTAGCACCGTTACCAGATGCTTTTTATCAATGGACCCTCCTCTTTACGGAGATATCATTAAATGAGTATTTCAGATTACTGGCGGTCGAATAAGTTTTGTCGCAAATGACATCGAGCAAAGAGAATCCTTCATCGAATCACAAACCTTGCTGGGTAGCGGTTGTAATCTAATAGTAAGAAATGAACAAAGTTCTAATATGCTTACCGTATTGCCCTAATGGGTTCCTATCACTGCGTTTACCGCTCACTTTTGTCACCCTACTCTACCATCCCGCCTTGTCGAACGAAACATACCGAACGGTCAATGCTACATCGTAGATACAAAGGATGTTAGGTTGCTCGGTAGGTGGCCTCTTTTAGGTCGCTTAACTTCCCTTATCAGTTATCAACAGTTCCTGTCACCGACTACCTACGATCCCGTCACATCCTCCATCACCTGTTAGAATGCTGAGGTTTCACTGGCAATACGAAAAGTGTGATCCTACCAAATTTTAACGCTCTAGGTCCACGTAAACAGGAGTTGTGAATTTGTGACTCTAATTTTATTGCGCACGTCCCGCCCCTTGTGCATGGAATCCGGTTCCGCCACCCACCGTAAGTGTTCCCATCCTGCCCCCCCGTATTCATACCAAGTTTGAAAGCTCTCGGAGGAGTTATGAATTTGCGGCCCAAAATTTCTATCGCGCACGCACCGCCCCCTGTTCATGGAGTACGGTCCTGCCACCCACCATAAGTGTTCTAAACTCGGCTAAACAGCGGAAAAAAACTTGAAAACTATAAATATCGAAAAAGGGAGAAAGTTCTTCAGTTCAACATTTTTCGGGATAGGGTGTCTGACACAAGGAGAGCCTGGCGTTAGTCGGGCGTTCCGACTGTTTATCAATAAACGAAGAGCTACTTGCGTAGGACGTCGTAGGTCCGCCGTGAAGTGTTTCCATTCAATATCGAAGGACCTTATGACCCAGAAGGCTTTTTATGGACTGATCTCTTAAAAACTACAGAGATAGTGTTCATTTCAAACTCATGGTGCCGGTCAGTGCGGCCAGATCGCCTGCACTTGAGAGGAAGACAGGCTTAATGGAAGAATAAGAAATACGAAGAATACGCTGTGATCACCTCCTCTGAGGGTCAATCTCTAATACACTATTCCCCTTCATCGCCACATCGTCAGGGAATAAATATCAGTAACTAAAAGAGCATTTTATTGTGAGGAGAACTTTAGCCGCTTTCGACAGTCATTCGACATGAGTCGAAAAAAAATTGGCCACAGTATACGGATGATAGATGAGTGAAACAGCTGGAACGCACAGGACATGAGTGCTTAGGAGAATCCTTTTAGAAGAAATTTTCTCACAAAAACAATTTGTGGTTTATTTTCTGAACTTCATTCATGACTGACATAGCCAGCTTTGGCCCAGAAGGGAATGGAAAACGTTTAGACGATGCGACCAAAAAAGGGTAGAAGCAAGAAGCGTTACTGTGAAACTTGTGCCCCATCCAAAGCACAGGGGCCTCTTATATTAGTATCAAAAGTGTTGATCAGTAATAATGCTGCAGACTGCGGTAGAAAGCTGTTTAGGGACCGCGATAAGTAAAACTTGCAACAAAAGGACAATTGAACAAGTGCGAATATTAGAATAAAGTCCAGAGAGAAAAAATAGTCTAAGGTTAATGAGTTTTACAAGTGAAGAACAACTTAGAACTGTGGGAGAACTCAAGTGGTAAAGGGCCTTTGAATAGCATGAGAGTTCTGCTCGAAATTTCACCTGCGAAGAGAATCGTCACCAATATTTACATGTTAAGGGATAAGTGAAAGTGGCAGCCCTACTGCGCGAGCTACCGGAGAGCAATAATAGAAAAACTCGCAACATGGATAACATCAACAGAAAAAACCACAGCTCGCAAATGTTTGACATGCCACTATCACTGAAATTCTGGATAGCTAAACAGTGGCTCCTCTAACACAAGAACTTAATTTTACGAAATGACATAGATAACGACGAAAATTTTCAGGAAAAAAAACAAAAATCAAAGTTATTTAATAGGCATGAGGATAGGGGCCGAACGTTGCGTCCAAGTTCAACGTTTGACGTCTAGCAGTCGATCTGAGAACTACAAATATTCCACATTCGCTGATCTTTTGTCTAGTACAAAAATCTTTGAAGAAAAACCGCTTTACATGAAGTCACAATATTATCGCCTGACTACCATTTACTACCAAACTGAAGCTATTCCTTTCTTCTTTGTGCTCTGGGTTGGAAAAGCCATGAAAAGGACTCTTGTCTGGACTGAAAGAGGAAACCCGGCCAAAATAATGGAAGAGCACAGTGAAAAGAATAGTAAATTCGATTCCGTTTGGAAGGTGTATTTCACCGGTTTGAGTGCAATTTTCATTCGGTAGGCAGAGAGCATACCGTGTGGAGAAGAGTCGGTAAACACGGGTAAATGAAGTTTTTCTCATTCACTACTGTCCAGCACAGAACGTGACAGCAGCAACAAACAAAGCAACAACAGAGGTAACAAGACCAATTTATGCGGGAGCAAATAAAAACAATCAGGCAGACCGGCAACCATGAACTCGCCTGTTTTCAAGTAAATTTCATTATCAGGGAAATTCACGCTTGAGAATAACTGTGTACTTCTGTTAATAATGAGTTCTTGCCGTTGATAAATAATGTTGGATTGAAAATCCGACGAGATTCAATAATGGTTGAAGATAAGAGCAGCTTGAAAACTAGCCGAATCACCGATGACACTCCAGTGGTTAAGGTGTCCCAGCCACCACGTAAAAAAATTAGTCAAGCACTAACGCTTTAAGTACAGCAAGAGATATTTGCATGCACACGGCTGCAAAAAGGTGAACCAACTACTCACAGTTCTTTTTTAGCAGCTCACTTCACCATTGTTTTCTTAAGGCAACACTTGTATCGTTCCCAAGGTAGCAAATCACAATTATCCACAAGTGATTCACTTCCTCAAGTTCTTGCTGTTCTCTTCTCCTGACGCTCCAAGAATGAGAGACTCAGCTTGACTCCGAAATCTCTCTTTTAAGACAAGGTCCGCTGAGAACTTTCTTAGAATGAAATGTAGGCATCAGCTAACCTTTAATAGCCCAATCGGTAAGTCTTTTTTGGAAATGGGATGGTGGATCAGATCAGCCAAACGGAAACGAGCTTGAAGCTTGAGCGAATTTACCACTCGAATGCGAACTCATAGCACCTATTGCGTAGTTCGCTGAAAAAGATGAAGGCAGTGAAGATTGCATATCCAATTCCTATTCAGTCTGATTCGGAAAACATCGCTGATTACTGCGAATTTCGAATTTTGATGAGAAAAACACAAGGACCGGGGATACCGTTCCCGAACATCACCATCACAAATCGAAACTAACAAACTCTAGCGACCGATCGTAGGCTTTGAACTTTGCACCCCGCAATGCTGAACAGAACAGAGCGATCTATTGTGGAAGGGGATCAATAATCGGATGTCTACTTCAAGAAGTCTCAAGCGGCTATGCAGTACAATCAGGACGAATTGAAAAGCCTTCTTCCCTTACCATTTTACAAAATATGCACCCTTCTCTCTCCCCTGCTATTACCTAAGACAGGCTTTCACAGGGTAGATTGCGCGTCTTTGCTCAAACCGTTCAGTCAGCTTTGCTCTTCTCAATGAGTCTCCCAACTCACCTATCCCATCGGTGATAAGCGATACCCTCAATAGACATACAAAAGGAGCGAGGTAGTAGGTTCGGCATTTACTGCAGTCGGTGCCGAGCTTGCATATTGGTATGGCATCTGCCACAGAGGATATCGGTCTCATACAAAGCGACTACGTTATAAATCAGATCAACGACTCAGGTTGGTTAAGTTTCCCAGTCACGCGTCGCGAATGGCCAACGGTTTCAGATTTCATAGTAAACTTTTAGCAGATCAAAGTAATGAACCTGAAACTGCTTTCGGAGAAAGGCCAACAGCGGTACGTGAAGCTTTTTTGACCGCAGAAGTGACTTACGGAATACTGGTAAACCATTGTTTGAAAAGCGGGTGCTGGTTAAGACAACTAATGACAGTAACTGTCAGGGCTGACGTAGAGGAAAGATTGAAGTGAGTAGGATTGTGTGACTATGTACAATCAATTAGACACATCCACCGCGTTTATAGTTTGTGTCTGCGATTAGCTTCCGTCCCTGTGGTCGCCCATAGAGGGTGAAATACTGCATCTGGAAGCGACATGGATGCGGAGTCGGTGAAGTTAAAGTGGAGGAGTTCAAATGGCGCACCCAAGATATGTAACTTAGGACAACCGCTCCGAAGGGGTCGAATACTCGAAATGAAAAGACTGATCAGGAACTGCATCCAATTTTATCAGTCATTTTGAGCTTGTTTGCTGCATACGAAGATGATGATATCGGTTGTCTACCAAATCCGTTATAATCATCTTCGAATGACCAGTCTCAAACTCAAAATTACAGCTACACGGTACTCTTCCCAGTTGCCGAACATGGAGTATAAGCAAACCACTGTTCCGCAGAATGCCACTTGAGAATTCTGGCAAGACCAGAATGCTGTGCCCCAAATAATGGTCTTTCTTATGCCTTCTATTAAGCAGCGTTCGCAGTAAGCAATGCATCGACGAAACTGACGCCGTAGCACCGCCGACATTGCGATGTTTCCTTTCACTTCCCAAATAGAAATCTGCTGCCTGCATGCTTCTGCTACCAATACAGCAAAGGAGTGTTCAGTAACTCGCATTCATCAGTAGTTTCAGATACGCTCCCAATACATGGACGAGAAAATGCGCTCTTTCTTGACAGTCAGTACGAATAGAAACTATCAAGTAAGCATAGACTTGAAATTGTAACTTGTCATAGAGTTATAAGATGAAATCAAACTGGCAGAACTGCCTAGGGGAGGCTAGCTCCCGTGCTAAGCTCCGAAAATCTTTGTTGTTGAAGAGCGACTGTTGAGTTGTAAGAAACCCAATTCTATAGGCGCATTCATACTAGGTACCACCTAGTATGAATGCGCCCTATGAATCGTTGAGTGAGATGAGACATGTAGTTAACAAGATAACACAGTAGGGAGAATAACGAGTGCCATCCTTTGACCCCTCATTAAACGTCATACCACTCGTGCTCCCCCCACACTGTTCGTAATTCGTTTCAGGATCATCCGTCAACGATTCGACGCGTCCCATTGATGGGGAAACCTATTTCCTCGACCGAACTCAGGTAAACAGTAACTGGAAAGAGCAGATGGCAGAAGTGATAGGGAGTGCAGGAGAGTGGACGGAAATTGAAACACAGAAACAGAGACGACAGTGAAGGAGAAGTGAAAAATAGCATGAAGAGAACACAAAGCAGAAAAAACAGGAGAGCTGCTGACGGCAGAGAAATGGGAGTTCGTTGGGATGTCCTTCGAAGTTGGGTTGCAGAAGTACAGGCCCATCGAAAGTGACCAGGGGAAGCTTGAACACTGAAAAGTATCGATGAACTAACAACTCAGCTTAGGATCACCAAAACACTTGAGATCCCAGAGGGGCTAACAAAGTGAAATCGATGATGACGAGAAAGGTGATCACAATAGAGTGTGATGGTCGAGGAACAAAATCTTGGCTATATGATGATCGTGCATTTCCTTATCAAAGCAATTCACCTTAGCCTTTCCCCATTTGCCTCCTACATCTACTGTTTCTCATATACTTAGTAATCTCTACACTCAAATACAGTTCCATATAATCTCTGAAATAGACAATGGCAGAAAAGACAAAGGAAATATGTGAACAGAAATAGTGCAGGGAATATGACAGGAGTTGTGAGATTGAACTCCTGTTATTACAGAAGCAGAGTCAACACGCTGGACACCACTGTCTACTCACCGATGATCATTGACGGCAAACTTTACTTTGTAGACCAGAATGATGACGTTCGCACAGCTAGATCCTCGAATAGCATGGAAGTGAGTTCTTATTAAGGACACACGCATTTAGAGTAGGAGTTAGCAATTTTCAGTTACAACTGAGAGGGTTTAAGGTCATGTGTACGACTCGGAAAACCAAAGTATAACAAATAACATCACTTCTCTGGCTTACATTCCATACGTCCTGAGTCGATCAAAGTTGCTTATCCATACTCATATGTCTTTTCGGAATCTAACTGTCTTTCCACTTACACCATGTTTTTCAGTCGACGAAAACGGCCCAGTCCATAAACTACATCAATGATGACGATATCTCATTCACCTTAAGCGAATTAAAGACGCTGCTCCCACGAAGCACGATTTCAGATTTGATGAAATACTATGAGGTGAGGGGTAGAAACAATAAACTACTGCGAGCTTAGTCTTACCAATTCATGCCGAAGTGGACTTAGCGTGATCACAAGCTTCGTATTCTCCATCTTCCGTGCTACGAATCATGAGTGAACTTTGTTGATTTGGGTACAATTGAACTTAGTCTCAATTGCACAGAACCTAAAGGATTGTTTTCGACTATCAGTTACGTTTATTAGTACCAAAACATTCTCAGGAGCACATGAAAGTGAAAAGGATCTCATCCGAGGAACAAGCTATAATAAAATTGGAAAACGCCTTACAAGTGGTCAGTTCCCGATTTACTTGTTCAACTCGGATCCATCATAATCACTTTTCAAAAGGGCTTGCATAGCACGGAGCGGAAAGGACTATTGGGTTACTGTTCCTAATATGAGAAAATATGTGAGATCTATAGATTTGCGAGATGAATACGCTTCTAGTGCTAGTTATGTCTTCCACTATTCGCACCAGCGCACTTCTACATCCCTAAATTCTCCAAATACAGCCAACAGCGAAACGTAAAGCACGAAAGGGGATATGAGGGAAAAGACCGGAAAGGGCTATGCTGTACATTGTTGTAAAGCTTACAAAAATGGCATTGATTTGAGCAGAGGAGCAAAAAAAAACATGCTAAACGTTATTGTTCGAATTTTATAAGGGACCGAGAAACATTTGTGAAATATTAGAAATGCCTTGAATGATAACTCACCACAGGCGAGGATCCAGTCTCCGTTTGAGATCTGCTGTAGATTTCGAGCTCCACGATTGAGAAGAAGATGTTCCGAATCGACCCCTTGATCTGAGGGAAGACCACATATTTCTCATATGTCATGCACGAAAGTGCTAGATACAACAGTGGCTGTGCCTTCGATAATCTTTGCCACCCCATTCGGGACAATTCAACTACAAATATTTCTCGGCCACTTTCCCAGCCCAGGCTCGACTGATAGCGTCAGTCAAGCACGGCATGGCATTCTCGGACATACATTTCCGCATACTAAGCTGCAAGTCTAATCAAATTGCAGAGTAGAAGAAACTGACATTTTTACCGAATATACAGGTGTGATATAGATATCACCACTTAAAGAACTTTTGCAGCTCAAAGAATTTTCGGATCGCCATGTGCCCCATCATCCAGCGGTAGGGTTTCTGCTTGAGATCAGTCAATTTGTCAGCTGCAAGTTCATCCAGTATAAAGGATGCCTTTCAGCTTGTACCAGTCGATTTGGAAACTACTGATGATCCAGTCCTTCAGCAGCTTTGCAAACAAAAAACTCTTACGGTGAGACCTGAGGAAATCCTTTGATTGAAAACAGTTTACAATTAAGAGATTCCAGAGCGAGTTTAAGCCCATTCCGGCCACAAACGTCATGGCTCATTCATATACATCTGATTCTGAGAATCTGAGTTCAAGCATCACAGGGTAGGTTAACTCAATAGAGCTAGCCGAGCAGCTGTTCGCTACAAAGACGAATATTCGACAGGGTCGGAACCAGGCTCAATCCATCCCACTATCGCACCTTTCCTTAGTTCAAGGAGTAGACATTCTTGTACCGGAGGCCCATTTATTTTATACTTTTCAGTGATGTGTCAAGTGTGTCAACTCCATTCTCATCGTTATCCTCATATATTAGGTTGGTTTGAGAATGAAAATGAAGATAGCTGTCAGTAGGAGGTTTCGCACAACTGCACTGTGTTCAGAGGCAACGGTGAGACGATGATGACCATGGAAACGGCAGTAGAGCCTGGTGCCAGTCAGCATGAAGGGTGAGTTCATCACTACAACAAAAAGTTTACGTAAATGGTGTAGAACATTTCAAGCAGTGTCAACGCTATAATCCGAAATCTGCCTCGGAAAGAATACTTGTAGCCCAAGAGCCTCATAGTCATAGTCTCCATACTAGGAGAAGGAGAGCGAGTTTCACCAACGCCATCTTCTCATTCAGAGTGTCCGCGACAGCGAGGCGTTTACAATATGCCCCAAATTTTTGCTATTTTCCTAAAAGCACCCGAAAACGACAAGCGGTGAAAGGAGTTTGTTCTCCAAAGATTGTTCTCCATTAACAACTTTGATCCACTTTTACTGTCTGGGACTACCGATGCATTTATCTGTCTAGAGAAGTCAAACTGCGTTCCTAAATAGAAATTCCTGAGTTCTGAGTTACTCTCGTTCCCTTCCACAAGGTGAAATCAAGCACAAATTGCAAAAAGGACATTTAACGAACAGCTTCTGTACATTGCAAACGGTTGCCGTCCACTGTAGTTCATATTAGGGAGGGCCGGAAAACGCTTATTTTGGAAGAAAATAGCAGGGACGTAAACGATTCTTACTGACGCAGATTCGATCCTACGAGCGCTGCTGCCACTGGCTAGCTGCAATCGTTAAAAATTATTCATGTTTCATATGATTACCTATATTGTTGTTTGAAGGCAGTAATAAAGAGTTATTACAGTGTGACAACAGCAAGGCCACACTCTCTCGTTACGGCGGCACTGCCATCCGATTCTACTCACACTGCAACCAGCAGTACCGAACTTTTTAACTTCATCACTGCTCGTAGTCCCAACGAAACAACGTAAGTTGAACCCTAGCGAACGCATGAAGGCATGGGAGAAGGTCAACTCATAGGCATGCCATCGCGGTGCGGCTTGAGCCGTTCTCGATCGCAAACCGTGAACTCCCTTCTCTTTATGTCTGTCTACGCTTCAGTGCCAGATCAAAAAATTTAGGTAGACATTTAGGGCTGTACCTATTAATTTGGAGGAGGAGAAAAAAGACGCCATTACCGGGCAGGATTAGTACGTTTTCGATCGTTCTACTATTTGACAGAACATGTGAATGAATAAGCGGACGATTTTGATAAAGCGTCATTAGTGAAGTCTTTCGAAACACATTAGACTAATGGATTATCAAGCGCACCGACTGGAGGGATCAATTCGGAACAAAGCTAGACCAGTTTTGAACATTACCCGTTATTCAGATTTTGGAATTAGAGCCCCATGCCTAACTGGCTGCCGCGGGGAAGAAATCATTCAAGTCCCAGACACAGGAACACTTCGACACTCCTCATAACTTCTCTTTTCTAGTATTATGCCATTTGTACAGGGGTGTAGTAAAGCATTCCTAGACACACTGATTATGGGCAACTTTGGTGACAGTAAACCCTAACCCTGTCCTTTCTGAACCGTTTCCGCTGACATTGCTATATATCGTCTCCTCTGGGACCACACGTTAGTTGTTTCCAGCTAGCAACCTACAGAAACAGCCTTATCCTAATCCACTCGGCCCGGCAGTTTAGTCCCGTTATGAAACACACACTAATGTTCAGTGCAAAGGAAATATCTACAAAAGAACACTTACAGATGTTCCTATCGCAGTATGAGTGTAGCTTGTTCTGCATCGGCGCAGTGGCCCAATATGTGACAAACACAACGCTCAAATGTTTGAGTAATATCAAAATCTTGATTCTCACGTTCACTGCAGCCATTTTTACGAAGAAAAATAAACGGAAAATAGCGTTGCTCATGACACGATGCATGAGCCGCCGGTTAGAATGAATACAAACTGATCGCAGAAGAATAAACCGATACAGAAAGCAAATAAACTTGCCATACTTTTACGTTATCTCGAAGGAGCCTGACAATAGTGTAGCGACAAGGGAAACTAGCCGATCCGTAATCCTGGAACCAGTTACTCCTGTAAAATAGTTACCCACTTCTACCGATTTGCAGAGGAAATTCAACGGTCATTACGCAGCATCCCGATCCAGACTGCAGACAGCATGCAGCATAGCGTATTCATATGAGCAATTTTCAGTACGTCGACAGGCACATATGCAACGGTCACGCCCACCGCTTCAGATACTTGGAATAGGCCTGATACTCTATTAACAGCAAAATCGTAAGGGTCTCTTTTGGTTAATTGGTAATGCTGATGAATTGGACAACTTCGAAGGAAACCTCATTTCAGCATAAGCCCTCAAAGTCTCAGAATCCTTTCTACCACACGCTGGGCATTCGAAACAGAAGACGCGCTGACTGCTTTACCATTTGAAAACAAGAATATGTCGTCATAACAATTCGTTTCGTACTACAACCAAGTTATCAATCTAATAAACAGTTGTGGCGGTTAAAAACAATTTTATCACGAGCAAATGAATGCATTACTTGAAATTTGGGAGGGCCGCACTGTTCGATCCTATGTGACTGAGTGCATCGATTTGGTAGTTCAATAAGTTGATGTATGAATTAACTAACATCCATTGTTGACGCTGAGTAGAACAAAACAAGAATGGTCTAGCCTTAACGCGATGCAAAACTATCCTCCATGCAATAGGATGAAGTTGTAGACTGAGACAAATCGTGTTGAAGTTTTGAGGGTGGGATGTCCTCACTGGATAGGTTGCAATACTGGCTCAACACATAAGCTCGAATGCATCGAGCATGATGTTATGATTAGAACACTTCGGTCAGCAGCATAGGTATTTCGCTCGTCTTCGAACTGGCGAAAAAGCTGCGATTTCGACAAGAGGAAGTCCACGTCGACACGAAGAAGAAGGAGCATTTTCAGGGTGGCAGGAATGCACCTTCTCACTGCACGAAGTGTCTCAGAAGCGTTAAGAATCATCTCGTACTGACAATTTTCAGCCCGATCACGCAGAGGAAGCATCATACACCTAAGCATAGATGCAAAACTCAAAATTCCTTCTCCGTCGCTTAAACGGAATGGCTACTGTTAAAAAAGGGTAATCCATAGGTAATGTGGCTGTCAGATTATTACGCGTTATTAATATGCAAAATGAACTGCCACCAGGCTGCTCCTCACTTTGATGCAGGATTTATGGCTCACTTACTGAAAGTAGTCAGACGTGAGCGTTGACCAATATACCACACACACGGGATTTCATACTCCGAACTTTTCCATATAGAAAGATAAAGAAAGAAATCTGTCAATAACCCACATTATGGAAGAACGTACGAAGAGTAGAATCGGAAAAAGAACATGGAAGCGTTTCACGAAAAGCATCTAGAAAGTTATTGATCTAGAGAATATCGAACCATCGTTACCGAACGGATTTCCTTCCATTATAGACCGCGTAATGCCGGCTGAGATGTTAGTGTGGAGCTTACAATGAATCCATATATAGGAAGCATGCAGTAGGCTGTCCAAAGCTGGCACACAACCAACGGAAAAAGTCACAACCGAACTTATCATGCTGAGAAGAGAATGGCTCAAAGCACGTAGTGACCACATCACTTCAAAAGTGAAGCAATCAAAGATATGCTTCAATATTGAAATAAAAAAAGATTTCGGTATATAACTGTAATAAACCTTGGATATCAGGATGCATACATATGCATAATATATTTACTGCAAACACTACTGAATAGCAAACATGAGGAAGCTAAACAACATCTAATTACATGAAAGTTCTTCTGGAAATTTCATCAGCTACGAAAAACTTCACTAACATTTCCATATTAAAGGATAACTGAAAGTGGCAGCCCTACTGCGCGAGCTACTGAAGAAAAATAATAGAAAAACTCGCAACATAGCTAACATCAACAGCAACAAAAAAAACTGCTCAAAGATGCTTAACAAACCACTATAAGTAAAATTCTGAATAGCTAAAATGTGGCTACTCTTACACAAACACTTAACTTTACGAAATGACATTATAAAAATGAGAATTTCCAGATAAAAAAACAGAAATCAAAGTCATTGTATCAGGCATGAGTATAGTGGCTGAAAGTTGCTTCCAAGTTTAACATTTGACGTCTAGCAGTCGCTCTGAAAACTACAAATATTCCGAATTCGCTGCTCTTTTGCCTAACTCGAAACTGAGAATGTTACTATCAGATCTCGATTGGTTGAGCCTACGCTCACGAAAGCTTAAACGATAAATGAATGAATAAAATTCAACTCAACCCTAAAAAAATAAGAAGGCAGCTGGTTTAAAGTAAAATGTGGTTTCAAAGATACCGACAATTTGTTGTTTCAATCCAATAAATGATTGCTGATATACCTGTTCGCCATAAACCAATCCTGGAACGCTTTTGTAAGCAGGCCACCCTGTTCAGTATCGATACCGAGCTGCGCAAACAACTGAAATCCGATAGTTCTTGAATCAATTAGTTGCATTTGAGCATCATTTGATTTCTTTGAATTACCCTTCTATTCCGTTCATCAACATTCCACCTTTTTTTGTTATTCCACTATTAATTTTACTCTGACATTTGTTTTGACATATGACATACATAATCGTAAGCGATCAACGGATTTATGCACTGACTGATTTGAAAAAACTATCTTTTTAAAGGTGAAGCCAAGCATGAAGTCTATAAAAGCCATTACATCTGGGCGATACATCCTTGCCAAATCCCCAAGCGTGAAGATTGCACGACGATCAAACCCTTCGATTGCCGATCCGAGGTTGATCCCTTGGCGATTCAGCCAGCTGAACTCAATAAGCACTATTTTCGACCAACTAATTTGAGTAAAAAATGCGCAAATTCGCCTCAAACTCATTGAGGACTCTTGCCAAATGTACGATCAGTTCTTGAAAATTAACATCATTCAGCATCTAGATAAACTTTAGAGAACAAACAAAAAAAAGAAAAACTTGCTATTTGAAGGGGGTTTCAACGCTGAACATGGAATCTTCTTCTCGGAAAGGATTCTCAGGTGTGTCCAAGCTGATTAGCTGATCGATTTTATCCTCATTTGCCATATACCAAAGAAACTTACGGAACTTCGAAAAATCGTTCATCTAAAAAATACTCGTAGATCAATTAAAATGCCTGACATATTTCACGAGGAAAACCTACTCTCTACATGATATTCACTTCCTGTTAATGAAACTTTACTCACGTGAAGTTCGAAAATGAAGCAGCTGTCATCGCAAAATCTACCGCGACCACGCTTGAACATCGTTTCTTCGGGTCTTACAGCTCTTCTACGCGTACTTATGCCTTAATATTTACGTTGATAAGGCATCAAGAACGTTTGAGCGTTGAGCAATCAACATACTGCGATCAAAATAATGGGAAGATAAAATTGAAGACACGGTTTTTCGCGAGCTCGTCTGCGCTTCCCCGCCGATCGGTTTTTACTTCATTTTGCACGGGTTCAGCAGTTCGCTAACGTTTTTACTTCCTCCTCCTTCAGGCTTGAGTGAACAGCCCATCTTCTTGGTAGAAATCGTTTCTGTGCACCTTTCAAGCCTGGTCCATTCGGCGCTCCTTCTTCGGTGCATTTAGCGTTAGGGACGCAAAGCGCGTGCAATAAAGGAGCCAATTCCTTTTTATCTTTAATTCATTTTTAAGAAATCGAAATCACGAATGGGCTCCAGATACAGTGCGTACGAATACGAATAGCTGCTGGACCAAAGTGTTACACATCGTGGAAATTGTACTGGGGGAAGATTCTGAAATACGGCAAAAAAAAAGTTTCGCCGATGACAACCTCTTGCAGAATTTATACAAAAGAAATGCTCTTCAAATTTTTTGATCCATTACCACCTCAATTCGGTAGATTGACTTTTCAAACTGTGCAGGCGAAAGGACTATGAACAAAATCTCGTCAGAACTGTGGCTTTAAGCCGGAACAACGGCTCCATAAACAATGAATGAACGGCTGCGGCTGATGGAGATGGCCCAAAAATGATCACGGTCGTGACCACTTTACAGCAAATTGACGGACTGCCAAAAATGGACAATCGTTTACTGATTCTCTTTCAGAAGAAAGGTAGACACGATTGAACCACCAGCATTTTATCAGTGGATCACAGCTGGACGATGCCTTTCTGTAGTTGCTATGCGATTACTAACTTCTTAGCTATTTTCACTCTATATGCTGGTGCATATTTCATGCAATCATTAGGATTCACGAATACGCTATGTAGCACTTCATGAGCCCTTGTTCATTACGAATTTCAGCACAAAAAAGGAGAGCGTAGAACTAGTAGAACAAGCAAACAGTCTTCTAAGCATGCACTCTCAAAATACCTCCGAATAGTTTATTTCTTCTTATTCTAGTGCTTGACACTTTCAAAAAACTTTCGGGGTTTGATCCAATTAACAGCGAGATTTTATCACAAACTGCTTAACTAATATTATGTGCAATAAACAGCGCGTATGTCATCGATCCTGGATGTCCTCGGATGGTAAGCTACAGAATGATGAACTTGTTGCCGTAGAAAAGATGAACATTAAGAAATTCCACATCCCTGCGCCCAGGTAAAAGGTGAATACGTCTAAAAGTAGGCACTAAAGAAATGCGCAGAATGTTCCAGCCTTCTAGCTGCAAATATCGGTAGATGGGTTCCTCAAGTCTTGTTAAGCAACATTTGTTCATAAAGAAAAGTAATTAAAAGTCACATACCACCAAATGGATCGCAAGACGAATCGAAAGCGTACATCTTGTCATCTTCTTTGGAGGAGTCGCGAAGTGGATTCGCGCATACTTTCAGTGCGATGAGACATATGTCCAGAACCTTGCCCGTCCCTCTGCAAAATATACTTGGTAATAACAGATAAAAATGTTTCAAGCGATAACTGCGTGGCTGTTTAGATACACATGCCCATGCATGCAATTCCTCACTACTGCAAAGCAGCTATTAGCCTACTATAAGGTATTGATTACGGTCGTAGAATCGTGGAGTCGCGATTTTCGTCAAACGTGGAGAAGTCGTAGAAATTTTCATCAAAATAGGATATACATTCATCTAGTTCGCCTAACCACGAATCCACGTTTTTATCACTCCTCGACTATGAATGCTATTCTAACGATTTAGAACTATTTTCGTTCATGCACTAAATCTATATCAAAACCAAAACTGCATACGGTGCCTCTAGCGTGAACACAAGCTGAAGCGGACGACGATTTATGCCACCCGAGCACGAGCTGAAGCATGTAAAGGCGAAACCAGTAGAGTCACACATCGGAATACGCACGAAGTAGCCGCCGTCTTTTTCAACATACTCGGCGCCAACGTGTTCGCATCGTACAAAATGTTGGCGGATATTAGCAGTAGCTGCCAATGCTGCAAAATATTAAATTTTGCAAATAGCTTCTCCTTTGAAGAGCACACTTGCGACAATAGAAAAAAGTAAATCAACTGACTATCCTTGTACTGGTGATTCGGACAACGCTCGACGGGTTTATTTGCGTATCTCTCCTCAGTATACTCGGCATGAACTCGTATCATTGAATTTGGTTCGCAACTGTTCGAAGTTGAGAACACGAACGGCACCATCAGCTCGGATTTGCTGTAGAGAGTCATTCCACACTTATTTCGCTGAAATTCAGATTCGTACGAAAGCCGATTCTCTCCTAGCTATGATAGACCATGTGAACCTGTAAACAGCCTGGTGAATTCCTGAAAGCGTGAAAATTCAAAAGGAGGATCATCTCTGCTCTCTTACTGTGACCCCATAACTCAAACAAAATCTCAAACGATGCGCACCCCTTAAAGAAAATGCAATAAATTTTGCTCTATGGGCTGACTAGCGTAATTTCCATGAGTAAGAGCAGCGAGCAGCGAAACCCAACATCCGTTATCCAAAAAACATACCAAATGGCCTTCTGTCGTCTAAATTCTGAGCAAATAAGTTCTGATATAGCAGCAACGGTACAATATATGCGCATTTATTCCCAATCAAAGTCGCAGATACGCCTACTCCGTGGTTTCAGAAAAAAAGTGTAGAAACATACCATAACAACGTAGTCCAAATTCTTAGACGACTTCGTTTGGGGAGTGATACCGACAGAGAAAATCCGCTCAGAGCTAGAAAAAAAACTGAAAACTGAGAACTAAACAACGGGGAACAAAAAGAGCATACAAGGCAGGGTGATGCGGAAGTTGGTAGTGAAGACGGTGGCCAGAAGGATTGAGTATCACCGAACTGCTGACTTGAGCTGGACGAACCATACTGTGGGTACTGCCACTATTCTGCAAAACTATAGTGCTTCTGTAAGGCTAGTTTGGTGTATCATATGACACACCAAAACCTTTGAAAGCAAATAATGAGCTCCACCACGAAATGCAGCAAAGTACAAACGCTCAACCACTGCCCTCCATGAACGAATAACAGCTGATGCATTTTTCGCAACGAATGAGCGTCTTCTTGATAGGTACCATGAATAGTGCTCCTATTGCAACATGAAATTTTCCCATTCTTGTGATTACGCTACTTTATACTGTGATTTCCCAGTCAATTCCATCTCTATGTGGGCCCTTGCTACTAGTAAAAGAATCTAATGCAAAATAAGGCGAGACAAACTGGACTGAACATCAAATGACCTGGACTTCTTGCTCTGCCTTCTGAGTTTCAGGCCTTCAAGAAGGTCACCTGATTTAACTATCTCAAGCCCAGCAACACAAAATAGATTCCACAGGTCTCCAAAACAAGGACCGCTACATTCACAAGCCCCCATTTCCACACAGCTCATCACAAACAGTACTCCCGCCAAATGAGGGACGGCCACTCCGAAGACGCGTGCGGCAAATTGCGCGGCGTAGTTCGTGGCGATTTGGACGACTTTAGCGCTTATCATTGGGGTTTGAATTCAAAGTAGAGTAGATTAGAAGGATCATCTGACCCTACTAAACTACTCTACTTCGAGTCTGTTTCCCGAAAATTAGCGGTAGAGTCATACAAATCGTTAAGAGCTTCGCCGCGCAAGTTGCCACACGCGTCGTCGGACGCACGTAGTGTCACATACCCCGCCAAATCGATAAGCGGGCGCCTAACCCTGCACGAACTTTTGAACGTACCAGAGAAAGAGAGAGAATGCTCAGATCAAGATTCATGCAAATTGTGTGTCTATAAGTAGTATTTCTTCTAGTGTCTCATGACTATTTGACTGTGAATTTTTCTACTCTATTTACTTGTGAATGACTGTGGTTCCAATCACGTCATATCTCGCTGGAATTGCACTCATATCACCTCATATCATCACTGCTTAAATTTCTCGATTCATTAGTTTCTACAACACAGGTGAAATTTCTTGTCATGCCGATGTCCGAGGGGCACTATTGTCTCTTGTATTACTCGAAATTAGTGATTCTGCCAGAATTCTACATAGCGACTCAAACCAAACCTGAGCAAAAGGCTTTTGGGTCACCACTGATTCAGAACTGCTCGTCCACTGATCCGAATTCTGCTGCTGTTGCTGCTGTTGTTCAGTTTGTTCGGCGAGTTGGTCGTTGTAGTCTGAGACTTGAGGATGAGACCCTCGACCCTGAAGAAAAATAATGTTTCCTCAAGAGCGTCATAACAACTATACCGCGGCAATCAAATTGGGACTGCCAGCCTTCCAACGCGGCAGCTGTCTCGAGACTGACGCTTTTCAAAAGACCACCCGCCGGCTTGTACCAGGAAGGGGCGTGGCCCTCAAGCGCCATTCGTCCATTCAAAAATGACCAATCAGTCAAAAATCAATATTTGCCCAGTGTATTATTTTTGTAATTCCGCACGACTTCAATGTTTCAAATGGGAATGTCATTTCAAGATAAGAAATGTAAATGGGTCAGTAGATAACGGAATGGATCGATATTCACGCCCGAGGGTTCGGGACAAGCAGAAGAGAGCCAATCAATATTCCTACTATTACACGACTTTAATTACTTCAGTATTTCTCTTCAAAAGCATAGGATCCTCCAACCAGTACATATATGGAATACATTTTGAGTGAAATTGCAGTTGGAAGAGAAGGAAAAGAGGACACACGTTTCCGCTCCTTTGCACTATTCCTACTCCAATGCAAAGCTGGGTCGAGATTGGCCACTCAGTCAATACGTATCTGATCCATCTCACAAATTCTCTCTGATCAGATCAGATGCTCCATGCACGGCTTCATTAACATGTTCCAGTTCCTGATTTTCTAAGCGAATGGCACACCGCTTTGGTCACCGGGACAGCCTTGGCAGCTGATGGTCCAATTTTTACTGTTACCTACACATGCTATTTTTTCGAGAACTTTTCAAAAATTTGGCTTGCCTGGCACTTCCAGCTCTTACTACTTACCTGGGCCTGCTGCTGCTGGTTCTCCGGTGGCGTCTGGGAAGCATTTTTCATGTTCGCCTTCGTCGACCGGGTCTGCATCTCTAGTCCTGGCGCCAGGTGAGGATCTACCACTATGATTAAAATCAAAATCGACTTTGACATAAAAGTTGACGTGTAAGGCCCCACAAGTTCGAACAAGTCGTGGTGTTTTCTTCGTGTGCATTAATATTAATTAAATGAAAAAGATAAAAGAAACCACCTTTCAAACATGTCTAACGCGACAGGAAGTGTTTCACATGTCGATAATTGTTTTGACTTGTAAACCGTTCCATGGTTATTTACCCATGCGGTGCTGAAACAACAAAGTCTGGAGCAAAAAAGACACGTACATGATGTGGGTGTTGGTTTTAAGGCCACGGGAGTGCACAGAAAATTTGACGAAAGATTAGGGGTTGAGGTCCGATCACATGTAAATGAATAAATAATTCTAATCTGTCGCGTTTATACTTTGCGCTGCTCGTTGGCGAGAGCCAACTGGCCAACGGCTTCGGCGTCACGTCGGGCTCTATCGATATGCCATAAATCGATCGCTGATGCTAGGATTCAACGCTTTGGAGGTTTTTTAAACATGGCTACCCTTCTCATTTTCTGTACATTTAAGTGATTTACCCTAATTTTTGCCCTTATTGCTCAGTAGTTTGCTGAACAGAGCATCGCCGCCTCGCCTTCTACGAAACACCTCATTGAAAACTTCGTTATGTTCTTTATTAGTTCGCTACCAGCACTCATGGTTTTTATAAGACTGGTTTCATGGTTTTTAAAGGGCTCGTTTCATCTTATATTATTTAATTCATGTGCGCAACGTACATGTTCTAATAAATGAATAAAATCCTAGCATGAGTCATCAAGTCAGGAGATATCGATCGACGCGCAAGTTCTAATCGATTTGCCTCTCATTTTTCGCCCATTAGCCAACGTGAACTATGAATGGGATCGCTGAAATTTGAGTCTGCGTGAACATGCTCTACAGCCGTCAAAGTACGTAAAAATGAATCCAGAATAATAATGAAAAAATGGAAAACTCAAATCTCTCCAAACTGAAATTTTTAATCAAAGCTAATCAGTCGGAAATAAGTGAGCCATCAGATTCGTGCCAGGGTTACTTTAGCATTCGGAGATTCAGTAAGATCAAGTTAACAAAGTGCAGAGCATAGTTAGGACTTATCCTTACCTCCATCAGGTTTGAGGATTCGATGACGGTTTGAGAAGAGCGAACAGAAGAAGGTCAAACTCCACTGGCACGTTCTCAAAGCTGCTACCACTGTTGATATCACCTGAATCTTCAGAATTTTACTCAACTTTCGCCTGTGTTTTATCATGTTCTGTATTCAATCGAAAATTAGACACAAACTTCACGTTGCACGGTTGTCTTTGTCTACAAAACATTGCCTTTCTGAACCCCAGTGTTACGTCCTGCTTAAAAAAGGAAGGTAACGCACAAAGATAGCAATTCACACCGGGCGTGGGAGAAGAATGCCTGCAAATGAATGGATTTGTCTCCGGATGTGTCGATTTTCTGTAAACAACAGGTTCAGACAGTGTCACGATACAACATGTACTTCACTCTCCTGTCAGGGGTGAAGCCAGCTGTTGTTTACATGCAACCACCGGTTACCTACGGTATAAAACAGATCACATCCCGTAAACAACAGGACCCCATCCAGGACACGTCAGGACTTGGACCACGACCTTGGCAGCCCTGAAAGGATCTCTGGAAGCATTACTTGCAACGAGAACAAATTCCGGTGTGTAGTCAGATTCTCATCTTTACCTCTGAGCTCTTCATTATTATTTACTGAAATTTTTTGTTCCTATCCATTTGTTTATTCTTCACAAATTGGTATTCTTCCTACTAGCCTACTACGTAATTATTACAATTTATGATATTTGGCTCCTCTTCAAGACAGAGAGGTAAGAAGCAAAGAATTCGTACTCCCGGACTATTGTAGCGATTTGAACTCTCACTTGACTTCCGTCTTTGATCATGGTTGAGCGGAATTGTTCTGAGTTCCTGTCTGTAACGGTGCTGCTTGGCTCAACGAATAACCATAGAAATAAGATGAAAAATGATACTCCAAAAAGTTTACTTACTATCTTATTTTTTCTCTTGATTGGAAAGATGAGTACTGTCTGTTAACAAGTTGCAGAGATTCTTGGCTTCTGGTCCAAATAAATCCTATTTTAGTTTGTTATTCAGATTCATGTGACACATCTACTGACAAGGCACTCCCTACAATCGAGTTATTTCCTTAAAGACAAAAAAAACGAGTTTATACTTTACTCAAAAACGAGTGTATAATTTACTCGCCCAAGAAATGAAATGTAGTAGTAAGCGGAATACTAATCAGCAAAAAAATCATGAAATAAACCTGAAAGACGAGATTCTAGAGAAGAATGAAAAGTAACAAACGCTTGCGAGAACGGAACTGCTCCAGCCCAACAGATGATGATTGGCTAGGGCCAGAATCGATATTATTCAGATCAACTAGTCGATCAATTCCACGGCGAGAACCTACTGGCAAGATCAGAGTCTACCCGGGAGAGGGAAATAGATTGGCTTTCAGAAAATTAATTTGCTTTTACCCATTTTCCGAAATTGAATTCATAAACTTTGCCTCCGAACTCCTGTGTGGGAAATCGTGCTCAAAGTTGCGCTCAAATTCAAGTATATGTTAAGTAAAGAGTAACTTAAGAAGAAAAACAAAAAAATAAGAGCACGGAAAAGGCTAAGTAAAGACAGGCCTCGAAGAATCATTGCACGAGGCTTATCTGACTGATCTTCCAAATATTACGTATCACAAAAAGGTTCAATTTGCTTATGAGGACTGTTCCGGGAGTTATTACTCAGAGATTAACAGATGATTAACAGAACCGAATCGTAGGTGACACCCTCTGATCACTGCCCGTGGCGCAATAATAATACTATGTTTATTGTGGATAGGAACCTTGGCAATAGGGGTATAAGCTCTTTGAGGAGTAGGAATCATTTCCGGAAGCTTTGGTCGTAAGGAAGGACACTTTTCACCCTACTTCTCCATCATCCACCTGGACAGTTTCACCTCTTCTCTCCTTTTTTTTCTTTCGCTTTTTTCTTTTTTCCCAAATTTTCAGGCTAAAATAGTCCGCTTTCCTTATGAGTGTCGTGCTTGTACAATGAACTTTTCCTGACTGTGAACTTAGGGTAACCGTGGCACGATCAAGGAAAATATTTCCTGTTAACTACCAAAACCGCATAGCATTTTATCTCCTATCTCCAACCTACCTGCGCCATATTAACAACGATTATATTCCCTTCAATAGTCCTATACAACTTGTACCCTGCCTTGGTACTAGTCCTGTGGAACTGCTTTCTTCGCAAGTTCACTGCACTACTTTTCTTCGCCAGGGCCTCTTAATATCAAGGTAACAATCGATAGTGATCGGTTTCAAGAAGAATCCAATGAAAACTAAAGTGGAGAGAAGCAGCACCCCACAGTACCGGAAATGGTGGTATCTGGCGTGTAGGCCGTGTTCCTTTGCCAACCATTATTCCGGCCTGATTATTCATTCCAGCCTTCGCTTCTCTACAGTCCTACTCGACGAGAACCTAGAATCGTGCGCCATGTCTCGGTGCAAAACTCTAGCACTCCTGACAAAAAGCAACACAGGAAGGAAAAGAAGAAATTCATCCAGGCATATTTACAGGCAATAATAACATAAACAACAATGATCATAACAGCAACGATAATAACAGTGATAATAACGAGAACAGAAGCATTGCACTAAATGGATAAATCTTCTGAAAACTCTAGAACCCATCTAAACTGTCAATAGTGCTCAGAGCCAAAGTATCAATAATAATACTTGATTTCAAAAATCTAAAAAAGAGATCTATGAAATAATAAAAAAGAGATATATGAAATGAACTACTGAACTAAAAAATATTCACAATGATTCAATCCGAATGATTATTTACAATGCATGTGAGAAATGTAATGGAATGACAAATTCAACTTCACTCACAGGTAATCACAACTGAGAACCGATCGCATATAAAATGATATAACAACCGATAACCTACTGCGAGTGTCTCTTTCTCTTCCTGAAAGCTTCAATTTGACGAGTATGAGAAGATCGAGAGCCAAATTGTAGAAGCATACCATCGGAGAACTGAGCAACTACGACTTCTGAAAGGAATGCCCGAGGTCGCGTGCAAACTTGGCAAGTTGAGGCCGGTGTTCATTAAAATGCTCTCCACTGAACGGTTGAAACGAGGAAGTGAAAAATGCAAGGGGAGGATCACGAGGAGAACGAAGAGTTTGAGGTGTCGCAGAGGTGGGGAACAAGACAACCTTTACTAGGGGTTAGAAGATTACAGAAAGATAAATCACTTGGATGGCAGAATAACCGGCAATAATCGCTCTCTTGCGTTTTTCTTACATCTACTCACCTAAGTTTCTGGCTTACATATCTGGCTGACTTGGGATTCTCGACAATGGGTTTTCCCATCCGAGTGGCGCGTTCAACTAGGCAGCAGACGCCGTTGGCAAAGTTCAAGTTTGACTTGCATTATACATATGGCATTCATGAACACAATCAAGATTAATACACGACTTTATAAAGAGCCCACAGCGACTCGAGAATAGTAGATTTAACGTTGCTATTACATACAACAGTTAGTGTGAATGTGCATGATAGACCGATGATTGCGCAGCTTTCCAAATAGGTAACGAACACTCCAAATAATTCAATGAGAAGAAATAGAAGTATAGTTATTACATTACACAAGTAGCCCATCAAGGGGCTCAGTTATGAGGGGGTGCACTACGCATTTCTTTGATAGCCCTGACCAAATGACTAGCCGGAATCCTAATTCAGCTTACAAAATCCTGTTGTATTAGCGCTTTGGTTGAAGCACCGTCTAACTTCGAATATAATTTTTCAGAACTGAGTTGAACAGCGAAGCTTACCTCTTTATTCACACATCGTTTTCGAGGCTTTGCATCGAAATTGCGTGTCCCAGAATGGGAAAACCAATGGTCAGGGAGAATTGTGTTTACGTCGGTACCCAAAGGAAGCACAGTATTGGTGAGCTCAGGAAGACCTTTTTTGAGCATTTCATGTGTTTAAGTAGAAGCGCTTCTCCTCACTCTTTCTCAGTCCCTCTTGCTCGCACACCAGGCTACTTTAGATTATTCCCATATCTTTGGCCTAGTGTAATCTTCAAAGACACAGGTCGCGATCAGATTTTCCTGCAATTCGGTAGATGTAGGAAACCTTGACTTCATAAGAGCTGAACTTTTGTTATTCAAATAGTAAGGAAAGCTGTTTTTCAAAAGTAAGTGCGCTATTGCGGATTGAACAAAAAGTGATGCAAATAGGCCCAAAGTTTGTTATTCTCGAGAAGAACTCTCACTTGTACATGTGCTAATGACAGGTTTACCTTCAAATACCCCTCGAGAAATAAGGTCGATTGAGCCGAAAGAAGTACCTTTTGGGGTAGTTGCTCGGGACCGCAAACACTCCTGTTAACTTGAAGGTTATGCTCTTTGTTTTCTCAGAAATTTTTCAATTCAATTCATCCAAATGGATGCCTTGGGCGTTAACCTACTAGTTTTAGTTAGAAAGTACTCGCCGCCTCGCGCAGTACCAGAAATAACCTGTACAAGATAAGCGCTATTTTCTTTCTGATGAGCGATCTTCTCGATTTTTTTGTTTGCATGGCCTCATTTATCATAATCGTAGCCTCTATTCTCGGAACCAATGATTATCTTGTCGGGCGTGACCTGTGTCTTTGAAAAAACGTTCATCCCACCTAGGTCTATCAACCACACTATTTTACACTTGAAAGATTTTTGAAAACACACCAGGGAAACATTGAACGTACAAACGTTGTAGGTCCTTCAAATCATCCTCAGTCCTAAAAAACTTAAATGTACAAGAAATCGGGGAAGTAGATACGTTTTTGCGCTTACTCGCACGAGATGACTCCCATGAACGGTTTGTCAGTATGTTCACTCATGTGATGACGATGTACCTGAAAAATTATAAATCAACTAGGATAGCCAACGTTAAACACCATTCCCTTGCCATTTACCCAGGGAACAGACAGCTCAGCTATGGGATGAGCACAACTGAACAGATACAACCAACCTTGCTTTCTTCCTTCCCTTGAGCAGGCTAAGGGCAAATTAATAGCGCAAGGTGGCGTCGTTACCGCAAAAACATTATGGTAACAGTTACCACAATGGTGCACATGCAAACGATTGAACCTTACATTCAAAATGCCGGCTCAACGCCCAGTCCGCTTTCATTCGTCTTTGTAAACGAAAATGAAAGCTTTATATTGGATGTTTAACACGATTCATTAACGCTAGCAAAAACCAAAAGGCCGACACCAGCTGAGCTGCTGTACAAATACGGGTAGAAGAATCGTTCGAGGATATGCTTTCTGCCCATAATTCATCATCGTAAGGTTTCCACACAAAAAACAGTGAAGAAGAGCAGCCTGATGGTTTTCATTATCATAGAAGAAAAATCATAAAGCATTAAAATAGATTTCCTGCAGAATTCATTTTGAAGTTGAGAAACCAAGGCTAGATACAAATCAACGTCGAACCGAAATTCACCTTATAGAAGAAACCTACAATCTTCTCCCAAATCAAAAAGTCGTACTTACGTTTCTCAGAGCATCCGATTTGTAGTCGCATAGTTTGCACTTCTTGACATTCCTTTTCCAATGTGTTCGTACATGATCAACTAAACGATTTCTACCCATCCGTGGGTACCACTTTAGTTTACGTGCACAACCCTAAAAGGAGGTAATCAGTGCAAGCCCAATCTTGACACTTCGATAAAAACACAGACCAGCAAACGACACTCAAAGGTGGTGGACAATTCTCCAGCCTTAAGCAAGGACTTCAGTTTGTTGTCGCTTCTTGCCGAAGTAGACTGAAAGATTCTTATTCTGTCAGGTGAACCAAATTATGACCGCAAAATTTGCTCCGGCAAGGTCGATGCATATTGCCAAGCTTTTTACTGTGAGGGGGACACCCGCTTAAACGCCGTAGTTCATGTAGCGAAAATCTTGGCACTTTGATACGGTACTTGTGAGAGAAGTTTAACAAGGAAAAGTTCAGCAAGAAGTGGGAACGCGGAAATCCGAAATTTTACCATGCAGTAGTAATTGATAACTCTTGGGATTTGGTCTATCTTCTTCAAAACAGATGTATTTTGGGGTCTTCCAGACACTTTTATGTGCATCGTTTCCGACACATAATCTGCAGTATTATACTTTCTGCAATTCCAATCGTCATGCAAGGGTGAACAAGTGATACTGCTAAGAGTAGAAAAAAGGGTTGGCCGGACTGTGCTAGTGCCTGCTATGAATGTGAATAAATTTGAATTGTTAATGTGAGTTTCAAAAGTGTCTATTACTGAATGCCTTACAGTAATCAATTTGGAAAACGTTCGACAAAAAGGAGAGGGGAAGCCGATCTCCAACAAACTGCCAAAATTGATGCAGGACCGACGTTGATGTTACCATATTATGCACTGGTTACGTTGTTTTAGATGCTTGATGATGATGGCCCTGTTCACTCGTGTCTTTTTTTACTGCCCTTTTTCAGGATTAACGAGTATTAGCGATTAAATCTTCAAAGCAGGAATGAGTTATATTAGATGTTTCAAACAACGTACCTAATGCTTATCTGGGAAGATGAACGACCAACTGGGGCGGGCTTGTTTTGTTACGTTCTGCATCCAGTTCTGTAGTTCGTGAATTTTAAATTCGGCTCATGTGTCACATGTCAAAAAGGAAAGGGCAGAAACCCACATGGGTGAATGTTTCACAGCCACATTGCCTTTGGAGCGCATGGGCTTTTATTGCCATCTTGTCGCTGCATACACAGCGCAATACATACTTGCAAAGTTCAGGAGTGTCACTTCTATCCCTATCTCCATCCGTTTAGGCAAATTACAGTAAGACACCCAGTAAGAGACATTTTTAAAACTCACAACAAAAGTTCAAAATCATTCACATTTATAGCAGACACTAACTAGCACAGTCTGGCCGACACCTTTTTCCACTCTTGCCAGTGTCACGCGCTCATTCGTTGCGAAAATTGGAGTTGCATAAAGAATAATCGTGCTTTAATGTCAGGCGACCATGCACATAAAAATGCCTAAGAGATCCCAAAGTACTTTTACTGTTTTGAAGAAGATTGACCGATTCCCGATGCGAAAGGCTTGGCAGTTGGCCACGGCCGAGCCTAAGCAAATCTTGCGGCCCCAAAGTATTCGAATAGTGAGTTAACGAGTTCTAATTTTCTAATGAGTATATGTGAGAAAGTTGGTCCCTGCTTTTCTGTGGTCTTCAAATCAATCTCCTCAAAAGGCACACGCTCCTCAATTCTGTAAAAAATGCTATGTAAAGTTTTCCTCGCGACAAAGCCGTATTTCGAATCTTCTGTTGAGTAGCCTGTCGAATGTAAGCTTTTAATTTAACACGCGACTCTAGGAAAGTTGCTCGTCTGTCAGCTGCTTCTGCACCACATAAAACTAGACGTACTTTGGCACTACATCAAACTAGACGTAAAGGAAACAACTAGAGTAGGGTAGTTGCAGCCTATCTGTGAATGCACCATTTTGTGATTAAAGCAATAATAAAAATACGAATAAAGCCATGAGCTCGTTAACCACAAGAAAGACTCACACCATCGTTTTCTTGACGCTTACAGTTGAGTTTTTCTGAATCCTCCAGTACTTGTTGAGTACGACTTCTACGAAGACTATCTTTCATTTTTTCTGAACTCGGAGTCGTCTTGTCTGGATCCAAGCCACAGTTGTAATCATTAGGATCATCATTAAACTTCGGAATCTCCTCAGAACCTGCTTCTAGGTGGTAATCTTCTCTGGGAACAGTGAAGATCCAACTACTGTGACCTCCATCCACTACACTATCTCTATTAGGAGGAAGAGAAGCGTGCGTTGGTGCTTGCAGTTCGGTATAGATTTTAGGACTTTCTTTCCCAATTATGTTCGACCTCCCCTCAGCTTCGTTCATTACAGGAATTCCATTGAGATCAGTCGTGCAAGACCATCCAGATCCGATGCCCTCCAAACCATCGCAGATTTCGCTGCATTCACAGAGAATATCATCGAATATCATGTCACTAAATGCTTTGGGTGCTTCTAAAGGAGATTGTTCAGAGACTTCGATTGATGATGACGTTTCTGATCGTTCTACTTCTTCGAGGGTCGGATAGTTTTTGACAACTCCACGATGGCCCGTCGGAGGATCCGTGTCGTTGACTCGATCATCTGAATAGTCCACACTTAGCTATCTGAAAGAAAAAGAGGAAATCTCAATCAATCTAGATTTTCATACTCACACAGTGCATCTGAAGATGGTCTTTCTGCAACGATAGAATCATGGTCGCCAAAAGCATTGGGCTCCGAAGATGGGCTACTCTTTTCTGTATGACGGGGCTTTTCTTTCCTACGAAGATCGGAAGGGACGATTTTGCTAGGAACCTGGAACAAATCCGAACAGTGCTTTAATTACTATACTTGAACATGGACCAAAACCAACAGCCCTACATCATCTGAAGTTTCTGATGTTTTAGGAGGGAGTATGTCGTGCCTAGGCGACGCCACCCTCTTATTTTCAAGAAGTCCAGAACATCTCTTCTCAATAGGAAACAATATAGGAACATCCATGACGATACAACGGCATCCAATGTCTTTCTGAAGGGAGGGAGATGAGTAGAAGAACGCAGAAAAAATCAGATCTTAACAAATCACAAGAATGTGCTTCAAATCAACTCCGCGATCTCGAAGTTCCTCAAGATTTGTGTTGTAGATATTAATCTGTACGTAGGAAGGCGTATGCGACCAGTTGGCGACAGTTGGCGACAGCGTTCTACCTCTCATTTCAGTTATTGTTCTAGAACTGAAAACATAACTTGATTAGTCTCCAACTTCTCTATTGCATTGAACTCGGCATAGTTGTTTATGATTACGATATTCTTGTGCCGTGTGGCTAGGTGGAACAATTTACTCATCAACGGCCTGACGTTTCGACGTTACCGTCAGAGGCCAAGGTTCCACCGCTCGAACGGATATAAAACCCCGCACGGCACAAGAATATTGTAATTATAACTTGGTTATCATTCTATATGTATAAGTATTCATTAACTATATAAGCACTACATTTGCTAACTACAAACGAATGAAACCCTTTCCGACCTGCTGAAAATAGAGCAATCTTTTTACGCACCCAAAACTAAAGGGAATATACACAGAAAACGAAGCCAGTAGTGGGACGGTTCCATTTATGCTCAGATGTTGACTAAAGTCCTTAACTGCGCGTACTTTCTCACTTGTTTTCTTCAAGAGTGCCCAGGAACAGATCAGAGGTCAAACGTTTTCACGAGGGTGACAGCGAGAAAAAAATCATGTCATATGGAAAAGAAAGCAATTATGATAGTAATTTTCAAACTAAATTCTTTCCCCGCCAACAACTCCAAATTTGTGTAGTAAATGTGGAAAAGATCACAATTCTACTTTGTTCTTCTTGACAGCTAGCGAAAGACTTTGACATCTTACGGTGCTATGAATCATTTTCTGGTTATTGTTCCAGTATTTTGTCAGTACCAAATAAGAAAGATTCAAGGTGCCGTAAATACTAAATGGTCCGACCAAACACAATAAATCGTAGTTAAATGATCGAAAAAAGATTTATCTATAATCAATTATTAGGCTGTAACAAAAACGGAAGAACTGCAAAGAGCTAAGCAACAACATATTATGTACAAGATGAAATTGGAAGAAATCAATGGAAGCTCTAGAAACAACTATCTATAACGATCTATATAAATAACTGAACTTTTAAAAAGATCTACTCAACAAATTGATTCTACAGGAAAAGTGTTTTGCACACCATGTACAGCAAATTCATTCAACAGCCTTTATTCAATTCTATGAATTCTATGAAGTCGGTTTCCGAAAAGGGAGAACATTTTCGGCGAGATCTGAACAATATTATGAATGATTAGCACGCTCTATTCCCCAAATCACCGAAAAATTAAAAGATTAGCTTAGAATGAATTAAAGTAATTGGGTTTATTGTAAAAAATGCGGTTCTTTGGGCAAATATTCTTAGTTGCTGAAAAAGGTACCCAATCATTTTGATGCAGGAAGAGCATCGAAAAGCATGTTGAACATGTTTACTTATCAGGCCAGAGGGAGTACGGTAATGTTTGTTGAAAGCAACCAGACATGCTGAAAGCAAACTGCAGACTGTCTCTAAAGGAGGTCAAACCTTAATATTCTCGAGTTTTGACGTATTTGATTGCAAACAAAGCATTGTGAGTCAAAAAAGCAGGGAAACAACATGAGAATTTCACAACAGTTAATTATGCCATTATGAACCCTCTGATTCATTCGTTAGAAAAACAAGATAGCTCAAACAAACAGCCAAGCAAATGAGAAATATTGCCTGGCTTACCTGAAACCAAAAAAAAAAAGTTTGTTGTATTAGATCTATACACGATTTTTTCGAGAAATCCAACTCTTGTAAACTGAATCAAACAAAAGACACGCTTTCACTAATACGATGAGCCACGAAAACTAACCATAAATGTGTACACGAAAGATTGATCACTTGCTGAAGGGGTAACTTTGATTTTGTAGAATTGGCGCCCATGAAAGATTCAAGGTGTTCAACGCAGTGGTACATCTGAGCACAAAGTAATTACTCGATTTTATCTTCATTAGATTTGCAGTAACCACTGAAATATATCTATGCTAAGTGTGAATATAAATTAACAAAGGACAAATAGAGTAGAGGACAAATGCTGCAATGCACGACATTTGGCACTTTATAGAGAATTTGGCGTCTTGGTGCCAGGCAACAAATTGACAGTTACGAACCCTTTAAAAACACATGCAGTGGAACTGCTAAATTCATTGAAAACAGTTGTAAAAGTGCTTGCTATCAATGCCGCAATACTATGTTAGGCCCTCATTGCTAGCAAAAAGATGGTACTGGCTGATTCACCTATCCCTCAATTGCCCAATGGACCGATCTGTGAACAAACCCCAGTCACACAAGGGCATGGTTTCAGGGTTCCGATAGTCGAAAATACTATCGTACACGTATGTTGAACATGCAGAAGCTAATTTGCTGGCTGTTATAGAGGTCATATCTAGTGACACAAAAAAGTTTATTTAATGTAGTGAGATCTCGACCTTCCAGAATGGAATAAATGGAAGCCCACACTTCCTGGGATGATTTATGATGTAAGATGAACCCATTTCAAACGAACGGGAAGCTCTGAAATCCACTTTAACAAACAGTTATAATCGAATAACGCTACGCTACTGGTATTACAGATTGTTACGAGGACACTGAAAATGAAACTAAGGGGAGACGACTCACCTGGAAAACACTGCTTATAAAGTTGAAGAAGTTGCTCCATGTCGTTCTTGGTCCTACAGATAATTATACGAATCAGACTAGCAGAAGTTGATTTACTATTATGCTACCGCAACAAAAAATTACTGTTTATGAGAAGGTCTAATGGAGGTGTTCACCAGAGGTCAAGATGATTCATAGAGGATAGCTGCATAAAAGGCATAGACATGTGTATCCACCAATAAACCATTCGATCTATGAGGTGAAAACGAAAGCAACCATAATTCGGTTAACTTTTACACTGAAAGGTAAGGACAAAATTGTAGGGACAATGAATAATTATTTGCATAGAGGGTGGAGAGTCGCGAAGCTATATCCTGATTGTTCCAAAAAATCCCCTGACGGTATCTCGACCCTTGGTATTGTCCTGAGACTTGCACACAGAAGACAGAATACAGAGCAGATAGGAAATTTCGGGATAAAAAGCTCACTCTGCAGATGCTGGTCCTGTATATGGCAGATCTCCATGCTTAACTTTATGATGACGGTAGACCTGAGGAAAGAAGAGAAAATGATAGATACTAACTCACAGAAGTCTTGAAATGACTTACGCTTCTCGGACAAGGTGCTTTGTAGTCACAGACTTTGCATAACTTGACAGCTTTACTGAAGTGAGTGCGAACGTGATCGAGTAAACGAAGTTTCCCATAACGACGTCGATACACCAACTCTTTACCGCAACCCTGAAAAATTTGGCTCCGTACTCTAAGGTACTACTATTTTTTGTACTCAAGAATATATATAAGCAGCGCTGCCGCATCAACACTTAGCCGGTAAGAATAGGAGTATAGTATAGATCTATTCGAGCTGAGGTAAACCAATCAAACGAGAAGCAACACACCGGCATGCGGCAAAGATAGATTTCCGTGCTCAATGAGTGGCCCTTGGATGAAAAATTTTTGTCCTCAGAGACCTGAACAGCACTGGTAACCCAGTTCAGTACAACATATATCGTCTTTAAAGGATTGCTTTTGTAGCGATCCGAGTAACAGCCATCAAACACTAAGCAAAAGTCGCATGCAGCCTTTTCTTTCAATATCTGATTAACGAAGCATAAGTATTGAAAAAAAGCCACAGACCTCGGAAGAGCGGTTATCCTGTTCTTTAAACTTGCACTGATCGATGCCATCCGTCAGAAGATGCGCACGTTTGTAGTTGGGTTCTTCGGAAAGTGCAATGGATTCAGCTGTTGAATTTTCAGCATTATTCAAGTGATCAAATTGGAAGCCAACTGCCATCTTTGGCGACAGACATGATGAGCTGACAGCTGCAGCCATTTGATTATTTAGGTCCTGCACATTTGAAGGGGGTGAATCTACAGTTATGCTTAGGGAACCTGTTTCCCTAATTAAACTGCTCTGACATTCATCTTGGGAATGGCCATCATCATGAGTACCACATGTAGCTACTACTGCTTCTTGCATAGGAAAATCCTTAGCCAAATTGGCTTCATCGAATGCTCTTTTCCTTGAACCGTGCGTAGGTCTAGAGTCACTCGTATGCAAATAGTGAGCTCTTTCTGGGTCATCTTCGATTTCATAGCATATCATTGCAGTATTTAAAACAGACTCCACATCCTCACTGTTTGATTCAATTATTCGCCGAATATGATGCGAAAGGGGAAGATTTGCGACCAAGGTTTCGTCATTATCGTCAGGGTTTTCTATTTCCATGGCATGAGTAGTGGTAGCAAATGGATTTGTTTGAGCGGTATTTCCCTCATTAGCGTAGCCCGGCATAAGATCTCCTTGGGCATTAGTAGTTTTTCGAGTCGTACAAGGTGGTGAATCATTTTCATCTTCCAACATGGCAGTGGAGACCTCAACAGCTTCCGATATCTGTCCAGATGGATCTATGGGCGAGATTGAGTGTCTCTAAAATTATATAGTGATGCTACTTGCGCCGAGTCTGATAAAGTCAAGGACGCATGAGTAAGAACTACTTACTTTGACCTCGTCAAAATCATCTATGCAGTCTTGGAACAAGGTTTCTTCATCTACATTCTGACTAGTTCCTGATTGAGCTGTATCACTGCTTTTAGGATAACTTGCTAGCGTCTCTCTAATTGACAGTGAGCGATCCTAGAAGAACTTTCAAACGCGCAAGAAAACCTTGGCGAAAGATTGGAAATAACTGAAGTGACAAGTACTAAGCGGTCTCTAAAATTAGCCAGCTTACTATTTGTAAAAGTCAGACTGAAAGTGTGAAGGGAAATCGATCAGTACTTGAAAATGTTACCTTACTCAGATGAGCAACTGCATGAGATCCATCGCAAGGACGACCAAGTATGAAATTTTCAAAAGAACCTCCATTTTTGTCAGCTATTGGAGTCGATGTCAGGGGATTTATGGAAGTAGAAGTTACCGAATTACGATTCTGCTTGCCATTAAACTCACTTCTTTTCTCTTCGTCAATAGATCTATTTCCAGAAGAAGTGATTGATGCAACTGCTTCGACAGATTCAGATTTTACTGTAACTTTAACGACTTTATCGTGCTCTTCCTGAAAACCAAGAAAGTAAACTCAGCAGATTCCGCGTTAAATAAAAAATAAATATGACCCCAACTATTCCCAGCTGCGCAGAGTTAACATCTCAGACTAAAGCACATCGTTGGTTAGTCGAGGATTGAACATGACAAAAGCACATATATGTATATATACAGTATACTTCCTGCTATAACCATCTTGACAACACTCGATTCTTTTTAAGAATAGTTTGCTGATAGCTGATTATTGTGTCATGCTGCGCGACAGGTGGTTGAGCAACTTTCAAGTTTCATACCGCTGTGTCATGCGAGGTTGTGTTGAATAATATGCTCACTCAATGCTCAGTATTTAGTTAAGCCGTCTCAGCTGGTTGCGCGCAAAAGCGCGTTTTATCGTTTTTCAGCAAAGATCATGCGAACACGATCAAACGTTTAGGTGCAATTTGGATCAGATCTTGAGGAAAAAATGAGCACAACAAAACTACTACAAAAGCTATGAAGCCCTTCTGGGTGAATGCTCGTAACAAAAACTACGTTCACACAAAACCAATACTTTCCGCGCCAATTGATCGCAATAAAATCACTTCCTACACTGAAGCGCTCTCAAGCGCAAACGTCAAAAACTCACATCATTCCCATTGCTGGAATGACCACGGAATCCTTTAGATGACGAAACAATGGGCACGTCCATAACAATCGAGCGATGACCAATATGCTCCTGAAAAGTTCCAGTACCCAACCATAAAAAAATAAAGCTCAGCTATAGTCCAATATACGCTCAGTTTTTAATTTGAATTCTAACTGACGAGAATATGCTTGACGTCAACTCCTTCTTCACGAAGTCCTTCGAGGCTCGTACCGTAAATGTTGATTTGAACATAGCAATCATCGCTGCACAAGGGCATATTGATGGCAACCGCCCGCCCTCGCATCTTTACTTCCTGCCTGCACTTCACTGAGGAGATGGCTGTCTTCTACATAAGCAACATCAACAATTACACATACCAAAAAATTTAAAAGCAAAAGCCAAAAAAATTCAAGCACAGACCACAGTTCTTACAAACCATGACTAAAATTGATATCGGGCTGATAACTACAGCGGGCCAGAAAGTTCTTGATAGAAGAACGGAAAGTCAGTTTTATCCACAACTTATAAAACCAATAATAACAAGGAAACAATAAGATCAACAAGGAAACTTTGCATTGATTTCTAATCGTTTCTAAGCTAAAAATTACTACCATTCACAGTCTGAGGCTACCTCAAAGCGTACTCAAAGGGCAGAAGCAATAGTGTACATAGCAAAAAATGTTACAAAGAAATGACACAGATGCACAATGAGAGGGAATGAAACCAGTAATATTAAAAACATGGCGAACTTTAACTAAAATACACTCACGCTAAAACATCAAGAAGCTGATGTTTGAAGTTTTTGTATTTACTGAAAGTAAGAAATTTCACGGCTATCTGATAGTGATAAGCACTGGTACACCAATCCAATTCAATAATTATCACAAGGTTGCGAAGCCTAAAATACCGTGTAACAATTTTTACCGACGGATGCTTAGACCAGGAAGTATTGCTCTGATATGGTACTAGTATTACCCTGCGCCTGTCTGTTTCATGTCATCCATTTTAACTATTCACTTTTTTCTTGCTCACTCGTACTAGGTGGGGTAACCCGATGTTCTCCGAGTCCCCTCATCACGGCACGATTACCATCAATACCCCGAAATCATCTATCTAGCGCAGCCGCTCATCAGACCCAGAACAATCACTTTTATTAACACAATTCCAGCATAGCACGCTTGGTGCCCAGTATTCACGTGTTTCAGTTTCAGCTGAACCAAAACTTATAAGGACTACCCCTTTTCTATGACATGCAAACCAATCAGAACGGGTAAAACGGTTGAACGAACGCCGTTATCAGGTCTGCCTCGTAGGAAAAATTCCAAATAATCAAGGAAAAATTAAGAGGGAAAGGCTTGAATTCTTTGTAATGGAGAATTGTAGAACAGTAGTGCATTGAGGGTGCGTGAACTTCTGTTCGATTCTGGTCGATGCGATCGTAACTGATGCGAAAGCTGCATGGTCTTTGTCTTGTCTATATATCGTTATCATACCAGTAAAAGATAAATATCCAAAAAGAATAGCAAGCGTAAGGACGCAAAGCACCTTATGAAAAATTATGGTTTAAACAGAAAAAAACTTCAGCAAAGCTTATTGAGAACTTCACTTTTTTGCTATGGTAAAATGTGAAATGCGGAGCGAGGAGCAATATTAAGTCAGTACTCAAACAGCTATCAATTTCGATCACAGGTTTCAAGTAGCCTGTATAAGTGGGGCCAGCTGATGCTACTTATCTACCCCACTTCAAATTTGTGCCCCAATGATAGGCGTCAGAGTCGTTTTAAGCACCACGAATTTCGCCGCGGGGTTTGCCGCGTCCATCCCGTTCTGGGTGAATGCCAAGATGCGAAGGGGCCGCAAGCGAGCCAAAGTCCCCACTCCCGTGCATTAAAGCGAATAGTAATTCCAGAAGCTCTGTTCGAAGGTGACAACCTCACATAAATGCTCACAAATTCAACCACTTTATAGGCCATTTCTTCTCCATGGGCAACCCACAAACAAACAACCGGCAGATAATCGTGTATACTAATGGTGAAAATGCCGAAAACAGATTGATAATAGCATGGGAAGTTTTCAAAAATTCATTACGCACAGTATCTACGGGATGACCCACTCATAGTTGACGAAGAGCTAACCTATGTTTTGTTGGTGTTCAATGGTTTTGAAGAGCTCTGACACCTTGATATTTTGGCTATCACCATTTGTCGTCAACTTTGTCAGTCGCGACATTCTCAACAGCATCTCTTGTAAAATAAAGACTAATCCGGGATCAAAAAGCGAAGGATGCCAAGAACAACAAAGAAGGAGATTTCAAATTCATTGAAGAAGAGTCTTAAACTATTTCGTACTTTCCTACAAGACCAACACATTCTTTTTATCGTTGCCTAACAATGTATATTAATTTTGATGTCCATTGGAAAAATACAGTTTGTTTCAAAGCCTTGCGGTTTTATCGTTTAGCTAAATTTACTAGGTTATGTCCAATATAAAAATCTTTTGAAAAAATAATTTTGCAAGGAAAACATTACCTTCGATTCTTTGAAGCTAATTCTTAGATGTCACTGTTGACCGTATATAGTCATAAGTAATATGCTAAACGACCAATTGGTGTGGTTTCAAGACATCGGTTTTGGGAGGAGCGACATACAATTATTCAGTGGAAGATGGCTTGCCTCTAATGACTCCACGCGAGGAGAACCCTGAAGATTGTAATAAACCATCAAGACTGTTGAATCAGAAAAGCGTTGCAATTGTTTCAAGCTACCCGTGTGAAAATTTACGGACAGTCGAAAGGTAGGAGCCGCACCTGGGAAGCACAAACTCCAGAAACGAAGCAGCTCTTCCACGTCTTCGTGAGTCCTCGAAATAATTTATGTAATTTGTGATACATATCAAGAGGAGGATTAAATGCATAAACTCACTCGGCAGACGTGGCTCCTTCATAGGGAACACCAGAATGTTTGAGTTTGTGATGATGGTGTACCTACAAAACTACAAAACAATGAGCCGTTGACGGTGTGGGACAGACTAACAGGAAAAGGTGTTTCAGGAAATGCTTACTCTGCGAAACGTAATGGCTTTGAAGTCACATATTTTACAGTGCTTTCTCGCTTTAGCCCAATGTAAACGTACATGATCTAGAAGGCCACTCTTTCCGCGACGTGCTTTCCATGTTAGCATTGCCGTGCACCTCTGGAAGGTTTGAAAATGTCAAAGCAACAATGGCAGGTTCGAAGATCGCAATGTTAAATGTCGAAACATTTGAGAGACTTCCTGCGAGATGAAAGTGACTGTTCTGTGGTGTGAAATGAATTAAAATACGTATGATACCATACCTCCGATTCATCTTTACTTGAAATAAGATTTTATTCGTGAAAGAGGCCCAAAAAGAGTATGAAAGCTATTACGTTCTTTCGAATATTCTCTTACACCGCAACAGCGCAAAGCGTGAAGTTCGGAATAGCAAGAAAGCAAACAAACCGGCATGTGACACTGTATCTTACTTCCTCCTCCTTTCGTCAAACAAGAGGAGCTTTCTGAATAACTTTCCTCTTTCTGAAAGTACCGAAGCAATATCTGGTTGATACCCGTTAATATTTTACCTTCTTATTAATTTCCGCTTTTTCCACTGACATACTTTCCTCCGTTGGATCTTCTTCTTCTGCTTCAGGTAGTGAGGAAGACATGAGCAATACCGACTAAATACCTATGTAATATTTCCCAACGGTTTTGAAAAGAACATTCCTGGTGATTAATTAGTGAAAAAGACGAAACCAATTTAGAATCATTACCTTACTCGCATCGTAGCTGTCCTTCGGGTGAGGTTCCTCAAGAACCGAAGTGACTTGTGTTAATTGGTTATGCTCGGGAGAGCTGCTCCTTGACTTTCGAAAATTATCAAAAGCGGGTTGTGGATCAGGAATGGGGTTCTCATAGTCATCTGTACCGTTCCACACTTCGATTTCATCATCATCATTGAGCGCCGGTGTCTCGGGTCCATTGGAAAAATCCTTTAGCCCATCTAACTCAAAAGGTTCACTACTATTTTCCGTGTAGCAGCTCCCTTCGCCACCCTCAAGAGAGGCTTGTAATAAATTTACCGATGCGTCGGCAGCATCACGTTGTAGAGGTTCTTCCATATCCACCACATCCCGTGAACTGGTTGCAGTTGGCCCACAAATAGACACGCTTTTCATGTAGGAGTTCCAAAGGGAATTTCCAGCTCCAGTCGAAGCAATATGAGTTGATGACAGACTACCAGTTGGCTGCACATTTTCAATTTCCATTTGATTCTGAGGCAAGAGAGTGGTTGACGAGGTTTTGCTTAGAACATCTACTTCGACGGGATCCGCTTCCTTTTCAGATGAAAGCGGAAATTTCGGTGAAGTGCCCTGAAAAAGCTGTATTACTATAAAAATACATGATGCCTTGAGGATGTAGCAGCGACGTCGTAGACTGGTGCCGTCCACGGCACCTAGTATGAATGCGCCCGGACTGTCGCGCGCATGACGACGAGGTTTAGATGCCGCACAGCTCAGGCACGTGCTTACCCATACCGAAACACAGTTTTTACTCAACAAGTCATTGGTCGAACTTCCGCCTTCGTAGCAAGCATTTTCCTCTTCTTGACAAGGGGATACGAGGGGACCTGCAAAATAACAGTCCGTGATTTAAACAATTTATCTGGGCTCAAAACTTCTACTGAAGTCCGTATATCTACTTTTCACATCTGTTATGTACACGTCGTCGGCGATTGTTTCCGAAGAGTGGTTCTCATCAAATTCGATACCTTCGGCAAATTCGGAATCACATTTCTGAAACGGAACAGCGAAGATTGCCATCAACATTGACGTACCCCGAACATTAATCAGAAACTCTGTAGAAACCATCTACGAAAATAGCAGCCACATGCTTGAGATATTCGATGCCCACTCATGATCTTGTAATCACACCCAAGCAATGAAGCAATAAACAAGCAAGGTTACGTTGTTAACGTTCTTCTGCGGTTCCAGGTTTTTAGGTGGAACACTTTATTAACTCAACGGCCTCACGTTTCGACATAATCGTCGTCTTCACAGACCCAGGCTCCACCGTCAAAGCGGATAGAATCCGCTGTCGCCACAGACGACTGGCAGTAGCGAAGTCTTTCCAGCAAGTCTCCAAATTTTTTTNTGAATTTTCTAATTTTTCAAAATTTTTTCTACCTCCTCATTTCCCTGCCCCCCCCCCGCCATCCTCTTTCCACACACATACATACAGAAGGAACCCTCTTGAACCCTCTTGAGGTCCATTTCGCGACACCTACTCTACCTAATCCGATCACTAAATGAAGGAGCCTAAAACGCCATTGTGAAGAACAACACTTGAACATTTTGTGTTTACTAGACTTTTCCCAAAACAGAGTGCGGAAGCCAGGGAGGCTCATGTAAATGAGCTGGCAATAAGTGCTGGAGAGCCAGCTGACTTTCGACTGGAAAATAGGAAGGAAAGAATTGATTACCACCTTTTCTTGTTGATAAATGGCTGTCAGAACCATAAAAGGGCTTCAAATTACGAAACATTCTGAGAAGAAATCGATCTAGGAGCTGAACATGGTACCAGGGAGAACCATACATCAAGTTACACTCGTAGTGCTTTGATCGAGTAGCATCCTCAATCTCCGTTACTGATAGATTTACAGTGTATTCAAAACTGAGTGACGTGGTTGTATGAGTGAACCTTTAGCCACCACCACAGCACAAGCTAGTTCAATCATTTACAGGTGCATGCTCAAACGATGCTTCTTCCCAGGCTGTGCTCATGGGGCAACTGATTATGAGTTGACAATAAAGCAGAACCTTACACCGTTCAGCTCCTGTGAACAACCATGGAATCCTTCAAACGAGTTCGTCACACCATAGCGAAGAAACCTTGTAGATCTCCGTTTCACAGGCGAGAGAATAGGGACGTCCATAGCTACTGAGCGGTAACCAATGTGTTGCTTAAATATTGGCACAATTGAAATGCAGAATTCAACACTGTTACATACAGATAGTATCTCATAATTTCTCACCAAGATCTGCTTTAAATCTACACCATCTTCACGAAGTCCTTGGAGGCTCGTGTTGTAGATGTTGATTTGGACATAAGTACTATTCCGCGAAAAAGTGGTGGGAAAAACTCGTCCTCTCATTGTGGCAACCAGCTCTGCAGTGCTGCACTTATAGAAGTTTTCTTGAGAGGTTATGGTAAAACGTACATGAAAATGAAGCAATTGTCAAGAAAGTGCACCAAACATACTCTATCCCTTGCCCTTCTTGCCCATCTCAAACAGCCGAAGGGAATCTTCTGGTAGCTCCTATCAGTCCCAGATGCGGAAAATGCGGCGTTAATTACCGCGAATAGGATACGAACGACATCCGGTTTCGCCCCCTTTGATTTTTGAGGAATTGTGAAATTCGGACACGTTCTGATTCCGTTACGGTTACAAAGTTATAGAACAAAATTTACTTTCTTAGCAAAGTTCAAGTAGAATTTCAACTACAAAGTGGTGTATTATAGAAATCTGTTTAAAAGAGGCGTGAAGCATTCGCCTGATCGTCGGCAAAATCACGGTCATACACAACATACTCTCTACCCTCCTAACCAATACGCATCGAATTCGAGTTCAGATTTCTATCTTTCGCCCTAGGGGGACGGAACTTACGTGCGTCCGGGGACGCGCGCGGCAATCTGCGCGGCGAGATTCGTGGCGATTGAACGACTTTAGCGCCTATCATCGAGGACCAAATTTGAAGTAAAGTAGATTATTACGATCAGTTGACCCTACTAAACTACTCTACTTTTAGTTTGGGCCCGAATAACAGGCGCCAGAGTCGTTCGAATCGCCACGCACTTCGCCGCGCCCATACTCGGACGCACGTAAGTACCCATACCCTCACCCTAACGCGAACCATGAACAGCACATGAGAATCGCAAAGTGAAATATATTGATTGACACGCGCCCGACGTTAGAACTATAAATGTAATATTCAAGGTTTTTCGCCTCAATTATAGACTGAAAACAAGAAATCAAAAGAAAAAGAGGATACTTGTGATGAAAAGCCGAAACGATGAAAAAGCGGTTCATGATGAAAAGCTGCTTTAAATAAAAATGAAACGCTGGACGAGTCCGAGCGCGTTAACAGCGTCTACCGCGAAAATCGAAATTGTGCACCTTGGCACGGGTCCAAGCCAGAATCGTAGCGGTATATGCTCAAACCTCTCGCAATTTTTGTTATTTTTAGGACGTCTGTGGTTCGTTCTCTTGAAAATCGGAGTTGTATTCAGATTTGTTGGGTCGTCTTGCATCGTTCTCATGGATGAGAATTTCAACTCACTGGCTGAAGAGCAGAAGGTGCCCAGCTTCTTTTCTAATTTTCCACAAGGGAGAAGAATTGTGAGTAGATGTAGAGTGAGAGTTATTTTATGATATTGCCTTCCAACATCTGAGAAAGGGTAGTGTGTAATGCTTTTGTGGCTTAGCTAAAAAGCGAGAAAGGTAAAAAGTCATAGTGAATAGCTAAACATAATGGAAACTAGTTCCTATTTGGAGTTTGGGAAGTCTTCACAAGTGGGAACGAGTGGTTGTTCCTCCTGTTTCATTCTTCTGTTTCAGGAGGAAGTACATATCACGAAGGAGGTGAATAATAATGGCAATGATGTGGTCGACACATTTCACAGTCTTTCCAACGTTGATCATCCTTCCTTGGAAAAACTGGCAGGTGATTTTTGATTCCATCTTACTAATACGCATGCTTAGAATATCATCGTTTCATCATCATGGCAACAAACAAAAAGGAATAAATAAAGCGTCAGTTCTTTATTCATTTTTAGAGCTCACAGCTGTAATGAGCCGCTTTGAACTCGATGTCATTGAGGCAGGTACTCCACAAAGAGTTCGTTCAAAATCTGATCCAAGTCCCATGGTTCGTCTTCCCAGAACAGTTGTTGTGAAGTCGTTTGAGAGCGTAAATGAGGTGAGCTTTGAACTCAATTAATATGCCAGGTAATCTTGGTTTTTGGCAACTAATTTTTCTTGTGGCTACTGCGACTTTCGATGATGAAGGGTGAAGCCGATCTGGTACGAAAAGGCACTTACTTTATGTGGCTGACACCACTGAACGAGCATCAGAAGGAGGAAACGGAACTGTCGATCATCGTGATTATTGCGGGCCAATGTAAATTTACCTTAAGCTACACCCTAACAAAAGGTTCTAGCGGATGGAAATCAGGGACAGAGAAATTTCCTTTCTGCAGGGAGTGTAACTGGTACTAACGGGCGGGCACTTACTGAAACCTTATTTCTACGTATTATAACCACAATTAGATTGAACATGATTGTTGGCATTGTTTTCGATTGCTCTTGCTCATGCTCCCTCAATTGTTACAGTCGGTTTGTGTTTTCGAAGAGAAACAAATTCTTTTCACTCAGAGCTTACCTGATGATCACACTACCACAAGCGAATCTGCTGCTGTTTCTGAAATCTCGTCTCCACCAACTGCAACGTCCGAAAAGAAGGAAGCCGTGGAGTCCTTGCCCTCCCATACGATGTATAGCACAAATATTTCATATGACGATCGATTGTACCAACAACTTAAAGAGCACTGGCGTGGACAGTTAGCGGTCTGATCAAGTTTTTAATTTGTGCACCAATATCACCTTGTATCCAAACGTCATTCAGACAGGTGCTGTTGCTGATCCATGTTGCAAAGGTTACATGTGGAGTGGTGAACTGCCTCCACGCAATTATAGCAATCCTATGTTTTCTAGCAAAATTTTTGTAGGTGGAGGTGGGTCACCTGAGAGGATTGTTACTTCTGTAATTGAATGGCCTGTTCTAGTGCCATGGGATATTTCGGAAACAGCTCTCATTGATGCTTTCTCTCCCTATGGAGCTTGTCGTGTTGAATGGCCTTCAAGAGAAGGACGCTCGCATTCGAGTCAAAGGAGTCGCACAAAGGTGTCTAAAAGTTCCATAGTAATACCTATTTGCCTAGAAGTCGTGTACCTTTCAGGCCACTGGTTATGTCTACATAGTTTTCGAAACGGAACGCTCAGTTAAATCGTTACTGCAAGATTGTTCGCAAGAATTTGGCTCTGCTGGCGAATGGTACTTCAAATTGAAAGCTCGTCGTAATCAGAGCAGCGAGATCCGTCAGGTGGTTTCGAAAGATGCACACGTCAAAGACCAAAAGAGAGGGGCTACTCATGAGAGTTTCACAGCCGGGGTGCGTTTTTATTTTTGATATTTACAGCTTTTTTAAGGTGCAAGTGATCCCGTGGGTTGTCTCGGATTCGTCATTCAGCGATGGTCCTACATGTATTATGGATCCAAAAAAGACAGTATGTCTTCATATTCAATACGAGCAGTGAATTTCTTGACGATTTAAAGTACTTGAGTTTCATTTCGAGTTCATTGTAGGTCTTTGTTGGAGCATTACATGGAATGATAACGGCTCATGTTTTGTTTTCGATCATGAACGAACTCTATGGTAATGTAGCGTTTGTTGGGATTGACACTGACAAGTATAAATATCCAATAGGTATGGTTCAATCGTTATTTGCATCATAGCTAAGGTTTTTGTGTAATTCTGATGTCTTGCTTAAGGTAGTGGTCGTGTCACGTTTTACTCTCACTCATCATATTTTCATGCTATCGAATCGGCATTCCTAGAGATACGTACGAGCAAGTTTTGTGAGTTCACCGGTATTGTGACTGGGCTATAAGTAAACCATCAGGGATTGTTTTGCTCCTAGGTCACTTTTAGTATGGGTATCCAACAGCTTTGTTCCATCAATTGACCTGCATTTTTAACCGTCCGTTAACAGAATCTTAATTATTGATTGAAATACCTTGCAATTATAGGCAAAAGGGTACAGATTGACCCATTCCTGGAGGATTCCTACTGCATGGTGTGCTTTGAATATCCGGGGCCATATTTTTGTCGTGATCGTACTTGTTTCCGTTACTACTGTGCTACATGCTGGCAGGTGAGGCTTGCAAAATCCATTGCTTTAGATTCTTTGTCTGTGAATGATTGCCCATACACTGTGCCCTCTGTGTTCTTATTTATATGATCTTGACGTATGAGCAGAACACCTTAATATAGTAGTATGAACTCAAGTGTTCTTTGATTAGGCTCGTCATATGGAGAATGGGAAAGAAATAACGAATCATCGCCCTCTCACTCGTCATACACCACGGTCCATGGCTTTGCGTGTGGACGAATATGGATTACGTGAAGACTCCGGGAAGTCGCCTGCACGTTATTACCTACATTCACCAGGTAGTGCAGCCGTGGCTCCATTGGGAGGGATGGCAGCTGTCGCTGCGGTGGCTCAAGGGACCGTTCCGCGTCACCAGCGTCATGCCTATCAGTACATGCAGCTAGCACCGTCGTATCCATCAGCTGTATTCTCGCCAACAATGATGCAGCAACGTTGTCGTATGGGTTCTAATATGACACCGGCTCCTCTTGTTGCCGGTCAGGCAGTCACATCTCCTACACCATTCATCCACCAGCGTCTCTACTGAACTGTGGCATAGTCGCTCGCTCGTATTAGCTACCACTGATCTTATTGAACTTTTTCCCGGAAGATTTCAACAGCCTTTTTAATGGCGTTTCTGAAATTCCGATGTTTTTCAATATTGGTTTCTATCTAGCACGAGACATTACGTATTGAAAATGCTTGATTTAACACGGTTCTAGCTAGCGCTGAGCTTGAACAATTTCATGGTTTTCATAGAATTCCTGGCAGTCTCACGACTTTGAAGAATACTTGTGAGTTTTGATGCCATGGTCATGCGCTCTTTTAGCAATTCCATCATTGACTTTTGTTTTTGTCATTTTGATATAGTTTTACAACGTTCTGTACGAAGAATTTTCATTTATTTTTTCACAGTTGGTGTTGATTGTGAAATAGAAAGCGTCTTATGGAGTTGATTAGTTTTTCATTAGTCTGAAGAGCAGGAGCTTACGAGGCTGGTTTTACAATTCTCATTTTGTGTCCTCTGAGCGTTTCATCACTCGAGCTCTTTGTTTTATCGCTAATCGTACTCGAACAGCAGAAATGCTGCACTACCCTGTGAATGTTTTTTATATTACACTTAGAGAATTATCTAGGATGTTTTTTTATTTGTTATAGCTTTAGTGTTATCTGTTTTGTTGTGTTTTTGTTTGATACCAGTGTTTCGCATTTCGATAGAAGTTTCGCTTATGGCATTGAATAAATAGGCGCCTTTAGGAGGTGGCTAATGGAGGAATATGGAGTGTGTGTAGGTGATGTACACTGGGTTTGTCCCTGATATTGTCACAATGACTCGCGCACTTCAATCCGTGTCTGTAAATGGTTTTTCGATAAAAAAGTTGTTGAACGAATGCGTTTATTGACAGCAATAAAAGTCATATGTACAATTGGCGGATAAAAGCTGCGAGCTTTAAGATCTCACCGCCACAACCCGTATGCCGGAAGTTGGCCGAGCGACGATTGCGCACAACTGAGTGGATGAGGTTGCAGAAAGGGGATGGTTTTTATGCGAATAGTGGAATTGAACAGGTGCCACTACATACTCACGGTTTCCACTTCTTCATCACAGAAATCAGTTCCTACTAAACCGTTTTTTCGTGATCACAGCATCACTGCTATGGGAGATAATGGTTAAAAGCACTTCTTATTGATCAACCACATTTTTTATGCGCCATGCATACGACGTACCAAATAAACGTTCAAATACGTAATCCTATAACTCATGTAGGCTAGGTACGCATTTGAATGTTGAACTGGTTCTGAAAGGAGTCGGATGTATGGCGTTTCCGAGAGCCTTGATCAACGCTAAGTGCTCCGCTCCTATCATCTTCTTCGGAACTTCCGTAAGATCGATTCTTGATCTATCTATCGAACGATCGATTCACCAAAGTAAGGGCTTAGTAGGAAATGATTGCACAACCATTACATGCACTGAGCTAGAAAACTCATTTTTTGAGAAGCGATATGAGTCTAATTGTGCTTTGTTCCGTTCTGGCAACCTGCCTCGTAGAACAAACTGTCTCAATACCCCGTTACTTTACCTCATTTCTTCCCCAGAGCTCAATTTTTAGTAAAAAATCTGTGATGCAAGCCGAGAGAGCAATAAAAATCAGGTCAATCAAAAGGACATGGCCGCCAAACGGGTGGCGAACAACTGGGTGACGTTGATGTGGATGACTGTTTACGTGGCCGCTTCCGCGGAGGTTCTTGGCTGACTTGATAGACCGTTCGCACACCCTCCGGTGAGGTCTCGTTCGGCGTTGGTCGACTCAGTAACGCTGGTATCGCTCGAAAGCTGAAAGTCCTAGGGTTTACTGGGGACGGAATAAGTGAAAAGGGGCCATTCCAACAAAAAGCAACAGATAATGTGATGGACCGTAAAATCGTGTGCGGACAGACGTGAAAGCAATGAAGAAATTCTGATCTTCAGTTCCTTCACCCTTTGATTGGAAGAGAAAATCCGAGTTCAGTAACAGATGTGCAATCTTAAGTTATCGAATCGCTGCCGATCTAGTGATCGATGACGAGCATGGTAGCAGGCTACCCGAGATCTCTCGCATTCTTTTTTGGAGGAGTATAAGTTTCCTAGTTCTTCTCACTTATATAAAATTTTCATTGTGCGATTATACTTAACCCGTCGCTTGGGATCGCATAAGTACCAAAATAGGAGTGAATTTTGATAAATTTGGAAGATAAATGTTTTTCAAAACCAAATGAGCTCTTCTCAAAAAAAAAAAAAGATAAAAATCAACGTACTCTGGTGTGAACCACATTAGGGATTGATAGCTGGGAAAGAACGGCGGCACAGGGCTGACGAACGGTACACACGGTCGTCGCCGATGGTTGACAGCTGAGCTAGGAGTACGTGCCTCACGCGGGCCGTCTACCGTAACCTGGAACCCATCCCCTTTGAATATTCTCGTGAATGAATTGAAATTCTTGTGGCATTTTATTCTTCTAAGTCATATCATATATTTCTTTCTGTTATAATCGCAAGACATGGGTACTGTAAATTGTTTTCTCCTTTTCCGTAACGTTAGTCCCGCGCCGCCGCAGATTCCGCTAGAAAATTTGTTCAGGAAAGGAAGCGCAGTAAGTGGAACATTGACTGAAAGCCCGAGCAGAAAGTCAGTTACCCTTAAAATTACCCCTACAATCCCAATACCAATCACTTTACCTCTTACAGTAGACTAACTTTAGATTCCGTTCCGCTTCTAACGCCTAGTTTTTATCTATTCCCAGTAGACGGCGTTAAACCTGGTGACGGTTCCGCGAAAGTCAAAACAGAACCCTTGATGTGGGTGAAGAAAGCCCATTAGAAGATTCCTAGAGAGATAATACGACTGGGAACACTGCAACAAGGACAGTGTAATGAAACTAAGCTGGCCATTAATCGATGATGATTTCTACTTTCCACCGTCCCAATTACTAACTTTTGGGGGAAAATTGTTAGAAGTATTTCTGAACAGGTCGACTCACCTTTATAGCTCGGCTAACCATTGCGATCATCATGGGCTTTGTATATACACATATCGTTAGATGGAAATTCTTCCCTGAAATCAAATAAAGAAGTGTTAGGAAGTTATTTTTCTTACTAATTACAGATTTTTTTTAATTCTACAATTTACGCAAACAGTAAGTCAGACAGTCAAGAGTAAAGGTAATAGAGACGCAGTGGACGGTAGGTGACTCTGCCGGAAGGAGAACAGCCTTACTTCCAAGCTCCCATGTAAATATTATGCCTCAAAGATGATTGAGGTTTCCTCCCTCGTGGGCAGCCTTCCACCGTTCACTTCTGTGTCCCTCCCAGCTATCGACCGATTGACAGGAATGCTGATAGAGTGACAACTAAGGAAAATTCCAAGGTCCGCGAAATAGATAATGCACATGGGAAGGATGCCAAGCATAGCAGCGGGTGGGTCAAACCTCAAAACTGCAACACTCATAGGCCTAGTTTAAAGGCACCTATCACAAAAAAGTTAGGGTACCCTTTTCTGACGGGAATTGATAGAACTACTCTAGAATAAAGCGATAACAACGAAAAAAGCTCAAAAAACGATGAACAAAAAGAATTAAAAAGGGCCAAAAAAAGAGCTGGAAAGGGGTTGGGACGAGTTTCACAGTGAAAGAACGTCGGTTAGAGAGTGTTCGGGCAAGTTGGCAAATTGCCAGGGACGGCAAATTGGCAACTTGCCAGAGACGCAATGTGTTGTCTGCAATAGCATGCAACACATTGCGTCCCTGGCAATTTGCCAATTTGCAATTCAGGGTGGGTCCTGGCGCGATTACATGACACTGTGTCGTCTCGACACTCGTCTAACGTGACACCGATCAAGGGGCGGAGGGCGACCGTGGATATCTGTCCGGCCCCTGATTGTGCCCTATTCAGCCGTTTTCCGACCTCATTCCTGCACAAATGGTATCAGAGGGGGCGTCGAATTCAAACTATGTGCAAATGTCCGAAACAATGTTTTTGTTAACAGTGCCTTTAAAGATAATTCTGTTCTGAAAAGTTTTATTTCAAAAGCCTTTCTCTTTGAACCCATTGTTCTCTCATCGGGTCTAGCCCCACTCCAGGCGTAGGGTAGTTTGTGGATGCGGTTTTAGATGTCGTTATCTGCTAGATCTAGCGGATAGCCTGCGGATAGATTTGCATCGCCCCGACACGGTCGCCACCATCGTCATCATGGTCATCATCGCTGTCGTCGTTGTCGCTGTCGTTATAGACGGGGTGCGGACGGACCGACTGTTGGCGGTTGTATTCGATAAGGATCGCGCATTCATCTCCTCGTATGTCGCCCACAAATCTGTCTGTGTTCTTCGAATACATGCCGATAATGACAAGGGTAGAACGGTCGGCGGGTGACCTTTTTCTTTCTGTATTTGATATCAGAAAAAATACTTTACCGTTCAAAAACCGCTCCCTTGATAGGCTAGGAATATCCAAACGGAAAATACAGCAAAACTAGTGCGATTGAAGCAACATACTTCGTCCCAGATGAATTACAAGCTAAGTCAGGCGCTTGCAGCCAGTGAAAGGATCTGCCCCAAATTCAACTCCAGTTCGAAAATGCTGGGTGGCTTGAAACAGTGTGGTGGCCTATCCATCGCTTGTCGAACAAGTCCAACACTGAACGAGCGTCTAGGAAAGATAGGAGAACTGGTTTTCTGGGTTATCCGAGGGCCGATCAAAGGACCGTTCATATTGTGGCAGCACCACTTGCCACTTCTTCATGCCTGCTGTCTATCGACACTCATCCACTTCTCATCGCCACAAGTTCAGAACCACCCAGATTTGGTCTTAATTTACAGTAGGGGCAAAGAAATAGTATGCAACTTGTAATTTGCAATTACAATTTGTAAGTTTCTCAGAATGTCAATCGGTTCCAAACAAATACAATCCATCATTTCCAAGGCTCGGGTGATTTCCGAATGTACGGCGCATACCCATTCTTTTCTATCGTACACGCACCTCTTAAAACTACCCAGAGTTACCCCAATTGGGTTAATACGTCAAAAAAACATAACTATCCCAAAACAATTGGTAATCATGGTAACAACTGGGACCATAAAGAGAAGAGCTTCAGAAGAGGTAATTATTCAAATTTGGTAGACATACCAAGGACAGAACCCAGTGGCGAGCTTAGTTTCCTAAGTGATGAAGCCTTTAATGAAGGACTGTTCTTTTCCCGCAAACCCAATGAATTCTTCCTCCTTTCCCTCGATGAATCTGCCATCGCGGCGGTGGTGGCATGCGACCACGACGAGCGCGGTGATCATTATCTATTACCAGCGAACATTATTTCCACGCGCAAAAACGCTGTTTACGTGCAGATTACGGTAGCAAGGCGAGAGACAATGCGTAATGCAGAGGTACCAGAGAGACTAAGCAGCCTGAGTGTGAATCGGCAGTTTGAACGTAAAAAACACGAACAAAGCACTTGACCGGATCAAATCAGATGCCACGAAAGTGAAAGCAATAGTTATGAACGGAAGTGTTTTTTATTGATCGATTATTGATTGGTTACAAACCTCTGCCGCTTTTTCCAACGAATCGTAAATCGCTAAATCGTGCCACTTGACGAACCACTTTAGCGGTATCGTGACGAACTTCACCACACGGTGTCTCGTCATTTCCGGCAGCTACGGTTACTGTAATAGGGTACATTTAGGTAAACACTCTGGTACTACCGTAATCCAACTGTTTATAAACATGATTTTAATGCGTATATTTGCCTACAGAGCAGGTTTCTGTACGCTCATAACTCAGTTTGTGGTGCCAGTTGAAATCTTCACCCAAAACCCTTAGAGGTTCGATCGACTGATCTGATGAGGTTGAAGTTAGGCCGATCCCGTTTTCAGCGGAATACCAATGAGGGCCCACAATGCGACCACCTGTTGCAGGTGATCGTCACCTGAATGTCTTGTTGAACGACACATTTTTAGGGTGATTGAGGCAGTTTACAGTGGTCGTGAGGCTGTTCGCCTAATGGGAATGCCGCTGCTATGAGGAGAACGTGTCGTTGGAAAACGAACTCAGTCATAGGCCTTGGCACGGAAAAACGACTGTTCAGGTTCTGGAATGAAGTCTAAGGTGGAGAATCAGCCCCTATTGGCCTCAAAAAATCATTGTTAGCTAGCCAGTTGTTTAAACGCTAATGTGCTGGTTTTAGTGGAAAATGAACCTATTCACCCGACATTATATAGGAACAGGCCCAAACATGGCTCCTAGATTTTTATGGACCCCCGCTCTGAAGTCATGTGAGATATTCAGTGGTAACTTAGCTATTTCTAGATGGAAATATCTACCGATATGGAGCATATGGTGAATACCAATCTTTCGCTCTCATTGCGTTCTTAAATGGGTTCTGGCCGGCTCTGTGGTTTCAGTTCAACATGAAACAAACCGGAAGATATCTGCATGGGAGATCAGGACCAGATCTCTCAGGTAGATGGCGGTTCATCTACATATGTGAGTTATGGGCCAAGAAAAATCAGCCCTTGGGCACGATCTTTGATTCTGGTAAGCCTTCATTACTGGTACTGAATATGCATTTAGAAGAAGCTCAGGGAACAGCTAGCAAGACAATTGTCATGTTTCCTCTATATCTCTTAAATTTCATCCCAACTTCTTTGTGATGTGACCCTTCAGAATTCGCTAGAAACTCCCTCAGTAATTTCTAATTCCACCAAAATCTAGCCAACCTTGATACGTAAAGGAGTTCATTGTTGTTGACGTTCTACAGTAAGCTGGATGAACCAACCTTCTGAAGCCCAAGTGTAGAGATGGTTTAAAGCCAAAGTCGCCCCATCCCCTAAAAGCACTATAACAACCATGAAATGCACCGGTTTCCGACCGTATGAAGCGCCATTATTAAGCGCATACCGCACTTTTTCATTAGAATCGAAACAACTCCGATGAGAGGCTCACTGATGTACACGATAAGAGAGAATCCAGTTATGTGGCAGGTGCGTGAGAACGTATCGACCACGTTCTTATTACTATAATCGATTGAAATCAATCAATAATATCAAATCGATACCCAGTGTTCCATCCGGTACCGGTGAGGTAATAAGTACAGTAAATGGAGACGGTAGAGACTTGTTCGATCGATGATGTTCCGGTAATTTCGTGTAGAAAATGTTTGGACTACTCGATTTCTGAAATGGTGTACGGTCAGTACTATCAGAAAATCAATATCAATCAGTACAAGTACGGAGAAGTAGCTTGATGTTTTCAAGTGCCTGCAACTTTCTCCCTGATTACTGAGATTCAATTGCTGGTGATCCTACGATAACCAAATTAATCAATAGTTAATAAAAACCTCTGAAGCGGAAGGCCAGGTAATCAATACCAGTCAATAGCACAGGTTGAGATACAATCAAATAGGTGTGTGGGACTAATAGAAAATTCCAACAGACAGAGGGTCCCAGGATTCAGGGAGGAAGATGGTATGTTAGAACAATAACGGTATGAATAATTTTTTTTTCTGGCCATGTTCTCTGGCTGAACAGATGCTTCTCACAATGATCGATCGATATTGATCAATACAGACAGCATTTGTCGAAATAACTTACCAATAGTGGTGTTTTATTGGCGTGCAGGAACTCGTGTACGTTATGGTACACGCTCATGCCAGGTGTCGGCTTCGATATCTGAACATCCGTAATTAGCAAAAATAAATGAAACCGATACGATAACAATTCTTGGCGACATTCAATTATTAGCATCGAACTGTGAAGAACACAGCTTTGGTGCGAAAAGCGATGGAAAAAGATTCATTTAATCTATGCTTTTTTTCAAGAAGCAGACACAATCGACACAAAAAAAAAATTATCACGCAATATGCGCTTTTGGGTCAAGCCATACCAAGTGCTCTTCTCAAACAACGTACAAATCAACCTTACAGATATTTAAATGCCGTTAAATTTGAGGAATCCTAAATATGTGAACTAATGGATCATGAATTGCTTAGACTTTTCTTACGTTTGATGAACAACGGCCGCTTATCCACAAAGTCAAAAGCCATGAACTATGGAAAAACAAATAAATAAAACTGAAAATTAGAAGAGGGCAAACCGGCGTGAATTGGGACTTGAGAAAAAAAAAAGAGGGACCGGTTGCATGGACTATAGATCAGCAAGGCCAGAAACCGTACAGATGAATGAGTGAAGATCAAGGCATATGTATTTATCGAAATCTCCTATACAGTTTAAAAAAATCTCATACATACTCTTAACATAAAATTCACTTTTGAGGCTACAACAAAAAAGACCTAAAAATTAAATAAAAGATCTGCGTATTTCACAAGATTTTATTATAAACACTCTATACTTCAAGCCCACATAGGAAATCCCTCAATGGTGCAAATACAATGATTGAGTGAAACTAACTTGAGAAACCTCACAGCTTAGCCAATGAGTAATTTTATACCGTGACTGATTTTGTTTCAACATTAACACCGTCGATCCCCCGTTTTGTCGCCACAACTTTCCACCATAAGTGTTCTTCGCGTTGTTTTAAATTTCGTGTTTTGTTTTAAATTTAAATTGTTTTTCAAAAACTGATTTTGGAATAACGTTCGCTTGGCAAATTTATGATTCTCAAATAGGAATCCCAACAGGACAAGCGCAACTCTGATCGTGTCAGTTGTCAACTGAGGAATAAAACACTCGACTCTGAGCGATTCATTGCCAGATTGAGCCATGACTTTGATTTTCATTCAGAATCGTGGTGCATTGGATTGCATATTTGGTCTACGCGACGGCTCGCTAGCAACTCAGAACCCTAAGGTTTATGGACGTCGAATAAACGATGACAGAGCTTCCCGTTGCAATATCTAATCATAAATATCTCTTTTTTCACCCATTATTTTTTGTTCCATTCTATGCAATCAATTTCTTCGAAGCTAGCACTTTTCACTATAGCGGTGAGAATAGTACTCTTAAATGAACTGTATCAACTACTATCACATGATGCATATCAATTATACCGGGACATAATTTTTCTACCGTAATTCGAACATCACTAGCAGTGGATTATTGCTATTATTACTGTTAGAGGAAAGACATTGAATTGTTATTCCACAAATATTATTACTGACGACCGGAAGTATTAACATTATTTCGACGCAGTTTCACAATCATGAAGTCAAGATCTGATGAATGGACCCACTTGCTTGGTTGCTCAACGAAAACTTGCATTTGTCCCGCCTACCTCTATCCTATCCTTCTCCATCTAAAAAACCAAATACGACCCCTTTTTTGCCGGATTTTCAGAAACGCTAATATGGTCCTGCTTTTGGGACATAGCCGAGCACTACTGTTTCGAGACTAATCACCAACCATTCTGAACAAATAAAAATGCTTCAAAGACTTGTTAGTTACTAACAGAGGCGAAGCATACGCATAGTGTTCATAGTGCTGGAAGGCACTAGTTGGAATTGGGTGAATTGTTCGAGGTGTGAGCCGTTCGGTTAGTGACTGGAACGGCAAGCGGTCGCCCCGAGGCTGGAGGCGGCGGCGGTGTGTTATCGCTCTCCACACGCGTACACCACCGTGCCTACCGTATCACCATGTATCGCGGTTAGGCTGTAAATACCCAGTTGCCGATCTGGCAATCAGAACAGCGCTTAGACCAACGAGCGTAACGGCAACGGTCTGATAGCGAAAACCACGAATAAGCATGTTGTGCGTTCGCCCTATTGTCAGCAACGATCGCGTCGATTACGCCTGAAGACCGAGTGTCGAAATTGCTGACGTCAAGAATTGGTGTTTACTTTGGTTTTCTTCGAGAAATCTTGTTTCGCTATTTTTTTAGGGCCACATATATTTGGTTCGACATGCGTTAGCACTTCGTGGGAGCATATTGCATAGTTAACTCGTAGTTTTATGGGCCACATGCGAAAGTATTTACGAAAACGAATTTGATGCAGATTCAAATTCCTACCGTAATCTCACAGATGTTACATACTTCACTGGCCACAAATCACTATGCAGGTATTAGACGAGAAGTGGCAGAACAAAATAAGTGGAGGATTACGGTAACCAATCAGTTCCATACTAAGTTCTCGTTCCTTTACTTTGGACTGATTGACCGGGACTTAGCGAAGGTGGCATTCGCTTCAACGAGAGAATCAGAGGATAAATTACAAAATTCTTTCAAGCTCTTTACCTATCCTTTGAACGATTGATTAGTTGATGCTCTTAATAAACAATGAATCAATATTTTAACCGCAATACAAATTAACAAATTACTGTAAGGAAAGCATTTGAATTTGAACGACGATGAGGACAACGACAATGCATGCGATCACCATGTGATCGTCATTGATGAGGTGTAAGACGTGCTTAAACACAATGAAAGAGATCTTAATCGATGATGATCAATTCGAATCGATATGGATTTTTGCTCACTTGGATTGAATACCGCGAGAACTGAGATTCCTACCCATGATCAGATTGTTTGGGTGTCGAGTTTTTCGAAAGGGCTCGTAAATGGGAACAAAAAGGAGAGCTGACTCACCAGTTCACTATGTAATGCTGATACGGGCTCAATTAATCGTCTTCAACGGAAGAAGCTTCACGTATTTATTTTAATACCATAGGGCCACGACTCTAAGTCGAAGTAACTGTTTTCAATTGAAATTCAAGGGCTCTGACCCTATCGTGGACATGAGCTGATCACTATGCAAACCATTCTTGTTTTGGTAATGGCTAGTCCAAAAATTAGAGAAGGGAAACCCATTAGCATTTGATACGACGAAAACTCCTCATTTCAAATAGACAGAATCTCTGCGGAACCATTGTCAGCTGGTGGCGAAATGAGTTGCGGGCTCGAAAAATCTTAAGTGGCAAGGTTAGAATGGAACATAGATGGAGGGCATCAAAAAGGTGAGGGATGAGTAGAAGCTGAGTGCATTGGGTAAGCCAAAAGACTAAGGAAGGCCCGCAAAATGAATGTAAAAAGGGCATAGCACAGAGTCCATGGAATTGAAGAACCACGTCGTAACTCAAACTATTGTTCTAAGGCTCCTCGAAGGACACCAGCTTGATTTTGCTGTCGTTCGAGGAGTCGCAGGAAACCAGCCAATTACTTCTGAGCTGAAGTTCAGGTCCTGTCTGAAGATGAGCTTGATAGAGAGCTTCACCACACATCAGCCTACCGTAAGAAAAAATTGGCCGGAATCTGCTAAATTCTCGTTAACGATTATGAGGAAACCTAGGCTGCACCGGTATCTAGTCCACAGTTGTCAGGTGGACTCTTGCGAAACAATGACGATTTTGATCTCGGCTAAAGTCAGAACTGCGAAATCGGGTCCGACAGATGAATTTAGGCCATTAGATGGCAGAATCTGACCTTAAAAGGTAACCGCAGCCGTTCGATGCGGGAGAACACGCCGACGCCGTGGTGAGATACGTGTCCATGATACACAACACTGAATAGCGCCGCCCAAGTGCCAGATAGGCATCGCCGCCCACACCGCATCCACCATGTTCGCAACCGTATATTGCGTAAAACGTTGAGGTGTAACTGGGAACCGGGTAGACAGGGCCAAGTATGGGCAACGATAAGCATCCTGACAACTCGACCCAAATCTCCTTACCCAAAGTGCTGCTGAGCATTTCTCTCTCATATTCCATCCCGAATGCTTAGCCTTATCAGGGAAAGCTGAAGGGCTGCCCAGCTTGCTATTTTAAGGAACCCTATGAATGGCACAGCTCTTGCGACCTTACGAACCTCTGCAAGTTTGGCTAAACCCCATCATGGTTAAACCTCATACTCCGAAGCACTTGCCATCTGGCATCAGAGTGCAGTTTCTTCTAACCGAATGACGAATAGATGGGGGTTTTCTTGGGTAATGGGTAAGTCTAGCAAAAAACGGACTTGATATAGAGAGAGAACTGCCTTTGTGGGTTTTAAGATCTTGATTACGCTACAGTATGACGAAGCACTTCCGAACAAAGGAAAATAGAGGCGAGTGTGGGCTGTTCATGAGTGCTTGCACTTTGAAAGCGGTAAATGAGTAGAAACAATCCTGTTGGCAACGAAAGAGTCAATGGAGTGGTTGTAACCCAGCCCAGCTGACAATATGCCTCAATGGTTGCAGGCGCAGGGAGCCCATGGCACCCTTTGCGATATGAAAACCCGTCCATACAGAGGAAACCTTCCCGGTTTCATAGGCAAAGGCATGTACATGATCACCGAATCGGATACAGACCAATTGGGAGGAGAACAGCGTAATCAAGGTTTCCACAACTTTGAGTGAAAACCGAATACATGGCGCATTCCTCATAAACTGAGTTCGATTCACGTTCTTCCTCCTCTCTTCATCAGTTTTGACTACCAGAACAATTTTTTGCATGAAAACGACTTCAAATGGTCATTCTAATACGCGTAGCGAGTTCTTCGAGTTTTAGACTCGGATGTGATGTATTCGGTGACACAATCTGACAACGGCGGGTCGGACTCAAGGACTGCGGTTTGATAAGCATCATCGTGCTGTCGTGACGACATTTGTCGAGATGAAGATTCATCTTTCACCGCACACCTTACGGTAATCTACTAAACACATCTGTCTGCCAAAAAATGGCGGCCAGTATCACTGACGGGACCATGTCACTTTGGTCACGAGTTCCTTCTTCACAAACGGCGTTGCACTCACTGTCAGTGTTACCTCAAGATTCGGCCTGTTTGGAGGAATAATTGACGAAATGGACGACACAAATTGTCCCATTCATTAATGTTTTCGTTAACAGCAATACAGAAAAGAAGTGGCAACAATGCGCCGTACCGTGATTCTCATCTGAAGTTCATGACTCACTGGAATGGCATATGATCTTTGAAATAAGTACTGTAACTAAAACTGGCAAAAAAATAATCCACGCATATCTAAATAGAACTAAGTGGTCTTAGAGCACGTATATTTGACAGCAGAGGTAATAGTAGATCCAGGTTCTGATCAAGGAATCATGCAAGCGGAAGTAGGATTGCTTGCATTATCCCAAAACTGCTCATGGAAATCTGTAACCAACTTGCTCTTGAAGTTACTCCAGTCCAAAAGGGATTATTGGAGCAGAGAAAACGTAATTTCAAAAGTATATTATTCTAAGCGAACACCAGCCAATACAAAGTTTAGGGCTGTTCGGTTCCAAGTCGAGCAACCGCGACCGACACGGTTAGCGATAGGGTACCGCCGTAAAACCGAGCGATAAAGTGGCTTACAGGCTATTAATGCGAGCCCGTCATGTTTGATAGGTCGTCCGCAAAAGCATACATCATCAACAGCTTTCATGAAATCAGGTGTACCGGTCAAGGTGGTTTATAAGAGATTACAATATAAGAAAAACGAATAGGCCCTCTAAAATATTTAGAACAGAATACAGCGGACAACTCCGGGGAAGCATCTTCCTGGGTGACGGAACTTCTCCCCGAATTTCTACGGCCTGGCCGGCAGTGCTTCCGCGGCGCTCTCCGAATCCTTCTACTGGGAATAGGGATCTTTCCCTTCACAACGACACGCCGTTCGGGTAGAAGATACCACACCCCATCTTCCTACTCGAATTAATGCGAACGTAACAGTTTCTCAGAAAGATTATGACGCTGCCTATTCATTCCTCATGGCAGGAAGCGCTGGAACCACCATTGAACCTCTTGGCTCTGACTCCCGGATCATGCCCTGGTTTGAGTCTCATCCACGGCAATTGCGCTTTTCATCCTGCTATGATACGATAGTTAGAGGCAGAGTTGTGTGCGTAACAAATTGCAATTGCACTAGCATTTTGGCAGGCTCCCGTAAGTCACTGTAGGTGTCAGGTTGGTATTGTCATTTGGTAACGATTCCAAATGATGATCAAGTATCTGGCACGCACCAGAAATGACTGACAGAGGTCCCGGGCTTTTTCAGCGTCCACACGAGCGGGATTTTTCGAACAATAGTGGGAAAAACATTGAGTGCACAGGGCCAACCTCGAGTGGATACCTGTCATTTGCTCGTCTAGATCAGAGTTTAATAGGAACTCGTAGGTTTCGTAGTTCTCGTTCTGGGATACGCCCAATTCATTTGAGTTCTATTCACAATCGTAAAGCCGTTCGAATGTGTATTTGCCTTCTACAATATCTGAATCAGTGCTTTATCTAGAAACCGGGTTACCCTCACTATGAGGGCCTTGGGCGGATACTTTTCAGGAATTTGGTCCCCGAACCATCTGTGTGGCAGTGTTCCACGTGGCAGCATG